AGCCAAGATTTTTCAAAATCTTAGCTCACACTTTGCAACGGTCGCTGGGAAATTCGATGACCTTTTTGCGAGGGATTATGGAAAATGCGGAGGGACGGACAGATAAAAAAGAAATCTTTTTTGGGATATTTTTACGAGCTGCAATTAAAAAAGTTAAAAAAAGTCATTATCAGGGTGGTGATACAGTCTTCACAGCAGAAAGTACTGACCTTTGGCACTCTCAGGTTTCCAAGTTAATCTCTTCGCTGCCAACTACAGGCAACCGCAGGCGCGATGACACGTCTATTTTTTAATGAAACTTACCTTGGCTTTTCCCAAATTTCAGATTTGTCCATGTCATCTTTTACTCTGTATAGCCGTCAGGTTGTGATTTTTGACTTTTACTAAAAGCTACATTAGCTAGATTATAACTTATATCACGCAATTCTGCTATAGAATCTTAAATTTTTTTATGGAGATCATGTTTTCTTGGCACTTCCTTTTTATTCTTTGACCTTTCAACACTACTACTGTTGATTGAACGGATTAGTTAGTCGATGAACTTAATTTACACCCACATGGGGGAAATTTAATTTATTGTTAATTTTTTTGGCTTTTTTGGACGCTCTAATAATTTTAATTTCCAATTTTTAAAAAGTTCAACGATTACTTTTTTGTCAGCTCACGTAAATTCAGCATAGTTTGAATCTATTCGCTGACCAAGATCTAATCAATGTGGCGTTTCGTCACAAATAAGTTTTGGTGAAAATCTTTGGCTGTTTTTTCTTGCCCAGCCGGGAGAAAACCTTGACTTCTCGTCAGAAAGTAACGTTCTATGAATTTCTCAATTTCTTAAGACTAATTTTTGTCCTCCAAAAACTTTTCCAAAAAATTTTAATATCCTAAATCTTTTAGTCAATCGATAGTGTGTGGACGAAATGTCAAAATAGGTCAGGAAATAGGCTAGATCGAAGTCACCGCCTCAATTTCCAATCTTTTATGACCTATACGTCATTTACGATAAATTTCATATTATCTTCGCACCTCTATTTTTAAAACATTCTAATCGTCGCAAAAAATAAACAAGCCTCTCCTATGTATACTGTAACTAACTCGTCACTAAAAACTTTCACACCTTTTAACAGTCTCAAACCCAAAAATTCACGTCAATCTCGCGTTTACGGTCATAAAAAACAAGCCAAACTTGTTGATTATAACCCTTCTTATCCGAAAAATAAGCCATTACTTATTTTTCGCCTGAAATTGCTCGGGTTTTCGGCTAGCCCCCAAATTGGACGTCCAATTTTTATCGCCGCTTCAGAAGGCCCATAAAATCCATTGCTTTTCCGTTTTTTTAGGGAAAAGTTCTGGGAGGCCGTCCGGCTTTTCCCTTCTTCGGCCCTCAGGGCACAAACATTTTTTTTCGGAGAAAAATTCTAAACCCAAAGGTTTTTTGCGGAGAATTGGACATGAATGGGAGGAAAAGCCAATTTCGGCGGGGATTCTGAGGATGTAGTGGACCTGAAGAAGGTGGTCCGTGTGGATTGCTTGGGCTTCTGTTGGGGTTTTGACTTATTTTTGAGGGTAATATGCAGTTTTTTTTTGGCACTTTGGAAGGGGTTTTTTTAGAAGTGTCTAGAACGAGCGTGAAAAAGGATAAGAAAAAATTTCAACATGGATTCTGAGAGTTCAATGAACGTTTTCTGCATAGCTTTCTTGATAATCTTACAAACATTTTGTCGATTTTTCATTCCCTTACAAATTTTTCACTCTTTTCCTCATATTTCTCATATTTTTTTGAAAGTTTATCCTTTTTTTGAAACTTTTTACATCCTGAAAATTCTCCAAAAGACTTTCGAAATGCTCTCGAGTGTTTTGGACATCCAAAAAGTAACTCTTTTTTTCATTGTGATACGGCCAAACTGGAGATCTGGGAATTTTCGGGAAGCCCAGAAAAGCCTTTTTATGATCGCAATAGGGTAATTTGGGCACTGCAAGAAGGCGGAAAAATAAAGTAAATGGCTTTTTTATTCGCGCAGACCAAAGATTTTGAGATGTTTTTTGTAGCAGAGTAGCATTTTTTAAGGGAAACAGAGAAAAAATATACCTTTTCTTCAATGAAGCTTTTATACTATGGATCCCCTCGGTGCGTCGTTGTATACATGGCTAGGAGAAGGCCTAGTTAGTAGAAATAGCAAGATTGATCGGGTCCTAGGATAGCGTATCACCTATTTTGAGGCATTTTATATGTACTCACATCAATAATTTCTAGGTAAAAATTACGGATCTTTGTTTTTTTGCCGCAAATTTTGGTTTTTTATATGTTGCGGTAACTCAGGATAAAGAAAACTAATGTTAATAATGGCTAAAATAAGAAAAAGTGGACATTTTGCAAAGTCTTCGCCAAGCCTCCGCCAAGCCTTCGCCGAGCGCCCGCCGGCCATCCAACGGCCTTGCCAGGCCTCGCACTTCCTACAATCTTGCTTGGTGTATTCACCTGCCCTACGCTCTGTATCGATCGATTTTGTGTTGACCCAAACTGTCGTTTTTTAGCCTTTTTTACCATCCATCAAAATTTTTATACAGAATTATATAGACATTCAAAGTTACGTTATAATTCGAATTGTTTTCCCAGTATTCTTCCCTCTCGATTACACGACGATCCCGTTTTTAGTTCCTTCAGAAAAAGCTTGCATATCTCATAACCGGATCAAAAAATCAAAATCTTTCTAACTGCTCAAAAAATCCTCTCAAATCAAAATCTCGGATCCAAATTCGCCTCGGTAATTCCGGCTGAGACCCGCCGAAAAATCCCGAAATAATCTGTGCTTAATTTTGCGCGCAGCATACGATTTCGGATCGCATAATAAGGGGGATTATCGGATATTGGGATCTTCGGAAATCTTACAAATTTTAAGTTTTTCAAAGCACTTTTCACTCTTCAGCGCAGAGGCGGTTGCAAGTTCTTGGAATGCTGATACTGACAAGGTAGGTGCCCCAAGTGCGATACTCAGATTTTCGTTAAATTTTGCACACTCTTTGGGCTTCAGGCACGTATTAATTCCTGAAAATTAGAACTTGTGATTTGAAGGGGTAGCCGGGATATTCAACCATCTTTGCGACCGAAAGAGTGCGTGAAAGGGGGAGAGCGATCAGAGAAAAAAGCACTTTTTGGACAGATCTTTGCTTGCTCCTTGGGAAGGATTGAATTCTGAGCGATAACGTTGGAGTTTGCGGTAGAAACAGGCATAACGATTTTTAAGACAAAATTCATAAAAAACGTTACATTTCCACCAACTTTCGACCAAAAAATTTAAGACGTTTTCGCAAAACTCGCACTAGGAGTCTTACGTATGTCATAGAAAAAATCGTTCTAAATTTGTGCCAAGGTACATCAACATCTCAATATCCCACTTGGAGTTCTCCCTTGTGAGTAAAATTAGTATAATAGAAAAAAATCCTTTTTTTTTATATTAGCTGATTGTTTCCAACAGTTTTGTGGGCGGTTAGTCAATGCTGTTGATCCCTTTGCTCTTTTCGGAAATGAAATGGGGTCAACGGTTCGCGGGGAAGTGCTAACAAAAACTGATTTGACTTGCCGTGGCTGAACAGGGCAAATCAGAATATGCTTCGTTATTGAGGCATCGAGGAAAGTTCAGATTTTCTTATGAAGCGTTCGGTTTTCTCACTTTTTTTTCTTTGAAAGATTTGGTTTTCTCATTCCGGGGTTGAAGAGCGATTGCCAAAAAAGTGTTTTGTATGGTACTCCCATCCTATTTTTGGTTTTTTTTTATCACGAAAGGCTACAATAGCTAAGCATGCATCAATGTTCAAATTATAATTTTGAGCAATTTAGCCTACTTTAAGTGTATATGCAAAACTTGACGAAATCAAAGACCACATTTTCCCTGTCTTGAATTTTGCGCCTAGCTTTTTCATTTCAAAACTTTCTTTTTTCACACTTCTCATCGCTCTTATAAATTACGACAAAAAACAATTCCAAACATCTCTCCTGTTTCGGCATCGAGTTACCTTCCCCAACGCACATGACTAACCCGCACTCCCACTTTCTGGCAAATAAACCCTTTCGTCTTCAACACCACAAAGAGTTCTTCACACACTCCACTGTGATATGCGCATATTTTCGTATTCAAAAAAGAGCCCTCTCTTGGCCATAAATTTAATATTCTCCTTTACATTTTGTGTCTACTTTTGGCCTCTCGCTTTATAAAGTCCTCTATTTCGGTTCGCTTTTTTTCGTTTCTTTTCTGGCCCTGGGATTTGGCTCTAATTGAAATGCCAGACACGAATGCTGCCGGCGTTATGAAGAACTTGCGGAATTGAGCTGTAAAGTAGCTGTTTGCAAGGAAATTGCAAAAATGTTTTAGTTTGGGTCACGAGTATTTTTGGAATTTAGAAATAAGGGCTTGATGTTAAAATACGCTGCGAAGATTTGTGTAGTCATATAAGACCGTGTTCTCTCATGAAAAAATATGTATGAGGTATCATTTTTTCTGGTACTATATTCCACATGTATTTTACTTTGGATGAAACTTGGCACAGTGTTAGAAATCAATTTTCTAGCTCATGTATGAAAATATAATCTGATTTTTTAGAGTCAAAGCTTTATAACTTTAACGTTTTTTAGCAATTTTTTTTATTTTACACCCTCTTTCACATAATTATTTAACTTTGCAACCATTTTTATTGTTTCGAAAAACGCTCAAGAGCCTTTTTTTTTGCCTAGCCGACCCTGCTAATTTTACCTGCTGTCTTGCAAAAATAATTGTTGAATATCACGGCTTCACTTGCCAAATTCGAACTGATATCGTAAACAATTAATAAATGGGCTATTTAGAGCATGTTTGTAGCTTTAAAGGCAATCAACAAGATACCTTTCCTACTACCAAAAAAAAATTTTTTAAAAATTTTTCATTTTTTGCAAATTTATTAACGTGTTTTTTCGTGTAATTTTCTTTGGTAAGATACGACGCATAAAATGACTTGGTCATTTCCAGTCCATGAACTCCACGTCCAACAGTTTTACCAGAGACATTTACGGGTACCAACCTTTTGCCATGGCCAATGGTAAGCCTTCATTTTCATAAACCTTTCCTTAAAATTCCCTACAAAAAATTGTTGGGTTACACTACTTCCTTATCTTGTAGAGGAATCGACCTCGCAGTATCCGACAATCTTCGACGATGACGATGACCTCGAACAAATGGTGAACCGCTTCATGGCTAACAGCAAATCTGCGCATGCCGATCTCGCGCAAATGGTAAGATAACTGAACCCGAGTGGTTTTGGAGTTTAGAAGGCATAATCTACACTAAAATTAAAAACATGCTAAAAAATGTAATACAAAAAAATTCTGCACGGTGCAAAAAATTAGAGCAATTGCACAGTGCACGCCCGATTTTAGCCTATTTTTGGCGTCGCACCGTGCAAAAATCTGCTTTTTTTGCACAGTGCTAAAAATAAATACCAAGATTGTTCCGGTTGTTGTTTCAAATTCGCTATTTTTTGGTGCTCAGGACTACTGTAAATATCGCTGTAGCTAACAAAGATCTCAAGGGAGTAAAGACTGAAGTTTGACGTTCATGGAGTTTTATAGTAGATACTAATTGTTATTCTGCAGGTAGAAAAGCTTGCTAATAGGGTGAGAAATACGTTTTATTCCAAAAACTACTTATTAGTAACGCTTGTCACGATGTGTGATAAACGCTACCAACACTGGGAGTACTTTTTTGTGGATGGCGTTTTTACGAAAGGAATAGCTGTAAGTAAACATAAATACATGATAAAACCTACCTTTAAAAACCTCTTTACCGGAATTGATAAAGATTTTTGGCAAGACAAGTTATGAAGTGTAATTGTCTTCAAGTTTTCCACACACAATAGGCCTATTTCCATGTTAATTTTTAAAAATTCTGAATGTTGTTTAGCCATAATTTTCATTCATTTCTAAGCAGAATAAAAATTAATATGCCCTTTCATTGGCGTGACAGTCAACAAAAAACCAGGAAGGGATTTCCCAATGTCCCATTTTCATCACAAATCGCCTTATTTGCAATTCATCCTTCCATTAATTATGGTTATTGCAGGCGACCAAGATAAGTAAGCCAAAGAAGTTTCGCGACGATCCCAACGAAGAGGATGAGACCTCTCAAGAGGACGAGGCCGAGGACGACGTCGACAGCGACGAGGAATTCTATGTGCACAAGAGTCTGCTGCCAATGAGAAAGTCCAAGTCATCAACCGCCGGCTTCCTACGGCAGCTCAATTCGTGGAATGATCAGGTGGAGAAGGAGCGGAGAAAAACGGTTAGTCATTGTTTTGGAGGCGTTGTTATTGTGGGCATAGGGCGAAAAGGGGAAGAGGGGAGACTATACTTACTATTTGCTATGCATTTTACATTTTTTGTCTTTAGTTTTTTTAGCTGGGTGGTTAAAATGCTGAGATTTGGCCGAAATATAGAACAATATTTTCTAGGCCATGTTGGAAACTCCTAGCTTGTTCTTTTTTCCAAAAGTCGCCTTGTGAAGAAAACAAAATTTTTAAAATTGTTTTCTTTGCTCTTGACCTAAAAATTCATGCTGTGCTATTTAATCTAAAGGTTCAAAAGTTTTTCAAAAAAAAGGATTTTTTCCCAGCCGAATAACATGATTTATCGCAAAAAAACTTTTTTTCGCCTTGCCGACCCTTGTCATTTTCCATGTTCTCTCGCAAAAAGTCTCTGAATATTGCGAGAGACAGTCTGGATATATATACTATGCATTATATACAACGTATGGTATACATAGAGTCCAAAATTTTTAATAAAAATAGAGGCTAATTTCAAGGTAAAAAAATTATTTTAGATTTTTAAAAGTTCATCTAAAAATGTTCTCATCAAAATCTATCCAAATTTTTACCTACAAACTGACGTTTTTCCGCTATTCCGAGGTCCAATTTTTTCTCCTCAAACGCAAACGACACGATCATTTGCATCACGCCTTCACACTTTACTCTCAATTTTTCACGCAATCTTACGGATTTTACAACCTCTTTTTCTAACTCATAACGTACTCCAAACCCTTCAAAATGCCTCACAGAATGTCAACTCGAAATTATTAGTATTATAATTTAGTATCAAACTCTTGTAATAGCTGCTGTGTTTGACGAACTGGCTCATTAGCAAAATGAATTGTCCTTCATGGGAATCTTTGGCCATTTCCATTTTTTGCTAATTCCCTAAGGGCATAATAGTCGTTGCGGCGTTGTTTTTCGATCCAGACATTCGCGGGGTCGGACTTTGGGGAGGAGGTCTGTTTTGATTAATTTTGCCATAATTTTCTACGGCTTCACAGAGCTCGGACTGTTATAGTTAGGGGGTTTGAATTAGACGTTTTTTGAGGAGAATAACCCAATTTTTCGTGTTCTAATGCGGAAGAAAGCAAAATACAAAAACGGGGTTGCACTGTGAAGTCGATAAGTTTTGGGATATTGCACTGTGCGGGCAACTTATTTTAAATTTTTGCAATTTTGTGGATGAAAATGAATGAAATTTCGAGATCACGTTGCATTTTTTATTGCTGATTTCTTGTTTCTGCACCGTAAAAATAGTAACTTAAATTTTTTTGCACCGTGCAGGAACTTTCTTTGAACTTTTTTCCTCTGCGCAAAGCAGAAATTTTTTTTTTTCACTTTGCAGGCGGAAAAAAATTGTGCTCGATTTTGAATTACTAATTAGTCGAACAAATCTTAAAATTAGTACAATATGTAAAACAGATTGATAAAAAACACTTATAAAAAGGGGAACACATTTTTTTCCGCGAGGATTTGTCAAGTTGTGGCCAAAAAGGGCCTTTCCATTAGACCGCTCTCCGCGTTTCGTGTACTGTCTTGCCCGCAAAAACTGCTGAATATCTCGTCCGCTCTTTCAAAGCGTGAGCTAAAATTGTCAGCTATTTATATATGGCCTATGGCCGAAATATGCGCAAAATTTAAAGAAAATCTGAGGTTCGCGCTTGGGCTATTTTTACTTCTTTTGTTAACTCGTTTTCTTTTATTTATTGTATTATATATTTTAACCCTATTTTTTCAGGAATCCGAGCTCATGTCCCAAATCGAAGCCCAGAAACAAGCCTTTCTCGCGGAATACCGTCGCAAAGCCTCGATCCAAGTGCTGACCGCGAAAAACGCGTCGATCGATCAAGTCTGGCCGGAGCCAGATCCCGATCCGGAAGTTCTCCAGCAATACCAGCCCACAACTTCATTGAAAATCCCGGAGATCTCGGTTCCTAAAGCGAATTTAGTGCGCGGCGATGTGATCAAGGTCAGTGTGGACGACAGCTACAATGACATGGGGATCAGCGATGGGTGCTGGTCTTCGCCGGGCAACTTTTACGAGGACGAAAGCGACGATGAGAATGATTATGATAGCGATCTGGACGAGAGCGATCATGGGGTGGGTTTTCGATGAGAGTGGTCGATTTTGTGGTCGATGTTTTGTGATTGGTCAATTTTTTGGTTGATTTTGCTTTTGTGGTCGATTTTATGGTTGATATCGAGTCTTGGTCGGTTTTTATTTTTTTGTCGATTTTATCGTCGATATTGATTTTTTGGTCGGTTTCTAGTTTCTGGTCTATTTTTGGTCGATTTTATGGTCGATATTGACTTTTTGGTTGGTCTTAAATTTTTGGTCGATTTTGTGGTCGATATTAATTTTTTGGTCGGTCTCAAATTTCTGGTCGATTTCTTGGTCGATTTTTTATGGTCGATTTTGCTTCTTGATCGATTTTTTGGTCGATATTGCAAGTTTGTTGTAAAACCATTGTAATTCATTGTAATTGTTGTATTTATTGTACATAAAGTTAAATCTTTCATTCATTTTTTAATTTAATTTTTGATGTTGTTTTTTTAATTTATGCTTTGACGTTGAATGTTGTTTGCACTTGTAAATGCTCGGAATAAACAGGAACCCGCAATGGCTTAGTTGGATTATCCCATTTCCGGCATTAATAATTGGAGAGCTGGAGAAAAATGTTCAAAAACGAAAACATCCGGACTATTTCTTGGACAGTCTAGTTAGAAAAATGGAAGGACAAAGAAGGTTCAAGAATGGGAAGCTAAAGAAATTTGAATTTTAATTGAATCCCTTATCCTTTTTTTGTTTGAGAGAAAAATTTTTAATTCAAAAAGTCTCCGCACTTTGAGCACGAGGCCACAAAGATGAAATGTCTAGACAGCCTTTGAAAACTACAGAGTCGGGCCTCATCCAGTGGCAGAAAAAGTACCATTTTGTATCCGGGAAGTATCAAAAAATATGGCAAAATGCCTCCCTCTCCAACTAAAAGAACGCTGGTTTGAAGGGCGTCGCACAAAAAGAACAAAAAGAGCGGGCGTGCTTTTGAAAGCCTAGTTTTTTCTGCCAATTTTCTCCTTTTATACTGGCGGACCTGTTCCAGTAGCAAAAAACGTATCATACTGCATCCGGGAAGTATCAAAAAATGTGGCAAAATGCCTCCCTCTCCAACTAAAAGAACGCTGGTTTGAAGGGCGTCTCACAAAAAGAGCGGGCATGCTTTTGAAATCGTAGTTTTTTCAGCCAATTTTCTCCCTTTACAGTGGGTTCCAGCAGCAAAAAACGTACCATTTTACATCCGGGAAGTATCAAAAAATGTCGCAAAATGCCTCCCACTCCGATAAAAATTCCGTTTTAAAGGTCCTCCCTTTACAAAAAGAGGAACGCGATTTTGAAATCGAAGTTTTTCACTTGAAAAGGGAGGTATTTTGCTATATGTTTTGGCACTTCCTAGATGCCAAATGGTACGTTTTTTGCCAGTGCAAGCTAAAAAATTTCTGGATTTTTATTCAGGTAAAGCCCGACAGAATTTAAAGAAATTTAGCGCAGAATTTAAAGAAATTTCGAACGTTTTTTTAAAGACAATAAACATTCGCTGCACTTTGCAGATGCCCGAAATGATCTCACTTCTAGCCTAATTCAATTATTCTCTCCCTAATTTTCCAAATTTTTCAAAAACATTTTTTTTTCTTCCCCCTCTCACCCTGCGGCATCAATATTTCCCGGCGAAACTCTGTTCCAACAATCAAATTTTGTAATTTCTTTTTTCCTTTTGACATCCGAATGAACTATTGCGCAACAGACCCTGCGGCCGGCCCGAGACGGGAATAAACGACTTGGGGGTTTTTCTGGAATGCCTACCACCGAGAGAACATACCATGGGGTCCGCTCTCTTGGCCCACACTTTATTTGTCTTTTCGGGTTCATTTCGCGGGGAGGGATTCCGCGCGTTAAACTTTAATTACAATTCGGCCGGGGCAGATCTGCATATTTTGGGGGGCTAGTTAATTGGATAGTGGATGAGATGGTCCTTTCTTTACGGTTTGTTATTTTGTGTGAAATGGGAAGAATAAAGATGAAATTAGGAATAAATTGAATTTCCGGCGAAAATTTTGATTTTCTGAACGGGTTTTTTTGTGTGTAAGATGGTTGTAACTGCCTTGGCAGGAGAGCTTACGGTCTCGTAAAGAATTTTAAAGGCTTTGAGATACGTAGCTGCTATATAAAAGCTATATTTTTTACAGACAATCTTTATTTTTCAACGCAAAATAATTTTGGTCGTATCCCATTGTATTTTACTATTTTTCTCATCGTAAAAGCTTTTTTCCAATGCACCACAGCAGTTTACTGAAACTCAGCCTCACAATGTACCCTTACCCAGCCTTTTTTATTTGGAAAATACGATTTTTTTTCAGGAAACACATTTTTTCTCTGTTTTGTGCACATTTATGTTCCTTTTGTGGTTGTGAGCGACTTTACATGTCTTTTTCGTCTTGCAATATCTTATAACTTTCAGCTACAAATTTCTATATCAAACCTACGATAAATTTCTTTACAGGTTCCCTCATTCTCCCCTACCTTTGCCCCTCGCCGTCCCCTATTTCGTTCCTGGTCATCCCCGGCTTCTTTTGATCAGCCTCCCCTGGATTTCACTGAAGACCTCTACAACACTCCGCAGGCCCGAAGATTCAGCGCCATTGTCGATGAGGACAGCCTTCAAATCTTCGCCCTAAAGGCACAATCGCAAATCCGGCGAAGCAAAAGTTTTGAGCCGGAGAAGTTCTCGAAAAGGAAGAATTTTTGGGCGAAACGGCGGAAAACAAGTACCCTTGGGTTTGTCCACTTCGAATCGGCGTTGGTTGAAGAAGACGGTGATATGGAATCAGAAGTTGAGGAGATGAAAGAGAATGCGATTGAAGAGAGGAAAGAGAGCAGCGAAAATGAGAGGTTCTACGACGATGAAGAGACACTGGAAGCGGATAAGTTGCTGGGTAAGGTGATTACTGGTAGTAAATTTCGCGTCTCGATTTTTGGGTTGATGACAGTTCGGGTGACTAAAAAGTCGAGGGCGTAGGAGAGGCAGATACCCAAAAAAAATTTGTGGGAAGTGCCTACGAGGCCTGGAAAGGCGTTGGATAGTTGGCGGGCGCTCGGCGAAAGCTCGGCGAAAGCTCGGCGAAAGCTTGGCAAAAGCTCGTAATATGTCCACTTTTTTTAATTTAGCTATTACTGACGTCAGTTTTCTTCACCCTGATTTTATAGCGTATAAAAAACCAAAATTTATGGCACGAAACGAAGCTCCGTAACTTTTATCTAGATATTATTGATGTGGGTACACCTAAGATACCTCAAAATAGGTGACAAGCTATCCTAGGACCCGATCAATCTGCTTATTTCCATTAACTAAGCCTTCTCCAAGCCTCGCCATGCATACGACGATGAACCGGTGCGATCCATAGTATCGCGGAGTCGGTCTGTTGCTGACCCAAAAAGCCGTAGCTCCGTAAATTCTTGACAACGCACTCCTTGCTCCAAAAAACTGTATTAGCTGAAAAATATTTCTTTTTTTCGTGAGGTAACTTTTGCTGCAAATCCAAACAAATGACGTTTCTTATTACAGGCATGTCCACTTTTTGTTGGGATAAAATTTTGCTCTGTGTTTTTGCTATTTTTTTTTGGTAAAATACGACTTTTTTTTATGTGTAGTGCTTTATGCAAGGAAATATCATAAGATTTTTTCGGGTAGAGTAAAGCCAATTTCAAGGCAAAAAAACTCCCAGCTTTTGTGTTTCTTGCCTGCTAACAATAAACAGTGAATAACGGTGATAATTGAAAATTGTCATCCAATTGACACCTCTAATTGTAAGACAAACAAAAACAGTTTCATATTCGTATATTTGATCCCACAAACAACCAAACACTTTAATCCCCATGGCAACGTCAATGAGATAAACAGAGACGGCGCAAAAAGTTCAGTTCATCCTTACTTTTATGTAGCCAAATATAATCTAGTTTATACGGGAGAATAGTAATATATTCCCTGGAATTTTTAATGCTTCCTAATTTGGAAACTTTTGGAATTACTGCTATTTTATCGAAAACGAAATTCTTGGAAATGATGGGGTCCAGAAACTCCATAGAGCCGGCAATTTCAGTTTATAGCGCTGTAAAAATGGAAATTCAGCTGGCTTCTTGTTTTGGATTAGGGATTTACTACTGTTTTGGTTTCAAGATATTGAAAACGTAATAAAAATGAAGTTTGATTGTCAGAAGAGTACGGACGAAAAAACCATCTTCTTTTGCTGGCCGAGGTATTTTCGTTTGACGAAACCTTCTTCCTTACAATTATTATAGCTTCTGTTCAACAGAGAGATAAGGGATTAAATTTCGAAAGGATCAAAATTTTGACTTTCTTTTTAAATTAGTCTATCCATAAAAAAGAAATTTTTAATGGCTTTGCAAAAACAAATTTTCCCGCGATGCATTTAGAAGTAAGATACATTCCAGCCCTTGTCATTTTATACACATATACATATATGCTTGAATACATATAGCCCTACACATAGCTTTTGTAAGAGCCCTAAAATCGCCTTCGTCATGATGCACATGTTCACAAAAAACGATTGTTACGTAGATCGGCCATTCCTAAAAAGCCTTACCCGCAAGAGTAGCAAGAAACGCATACACGAACGCATTCTTTGCTTTAATCCCGCAATGTCTTTCTCTGACAACTCGCTCCAAAGTCTTATGCTTACGAAGCTTTTTATACGACTAAAAGTTCAAAATTTTCAGAAATGCAAGCGGATAATGACACGGACCTCGAAAAGATGTCCGTCTCTTCCTCCATTCATCAGCAGCTCCGCCTCGACGAGGACCAAATGTCACTGGAAGAGGACGACTTTGAGGAACAAGTGGAGCATCCCGAAGATTCTGACGAAGAAATAGACGAGGAAGAGGAGGATATCGTGGAGCCTTTGGATTCCGGCCTAGCCGAGTTTTCTGTCCGCCGACGATCGCAGTTTTTTATTGCCAAGTCTGCTAGCCTGCCGCAGAGCAAGAGCGACTCGCAATTGAAAGCTCAGAAGTTGAAGGGACGTTCGATGAGTTTTAATCAGCCTGAGGTGACGAAAATGTTGAGGCATAGTTATACGTATCACGAGGGATCTTCGCGGCAAGATATTGAAGACAAAGTTGATCTGCCCGATGATTTGGTGGAAAGTTTTGCGTTGGAAAATGACGACGATGAGGGTAAAACTTCAGAATCCGACTCTTGCAGTTTGCAAGATACCGAAGAAGAGGTTGAAGAGGAAGAGGATGAGGGCTTGGTTGAATCTTGCCACCCGGATCAAGACGAAGAGGATCGCCCAAAAGGAGGGCTGTATAAACTACCAGCCAAAGGAGTCCGAGGAACCCACAGCTTCTACGATATTCAAGAGCACGTAGCGAGTGTGATTAGAAGTCAAACGGATTACAATTTGAGTGTGAAAGCTTGTCAACCATCAACGTCAAGGGACAGTCATTTCACTGAAGAGAGTTTTGAGCCAGAACAGGGTTCTAGTAGGGATTGCATGGCTGCAGAAGGCCAGATGGATCAGAAAATCGAACAAAAAAGGGCTGGAACAGATGACAATTGCTTTTATGGCCAAAAAGGTCCAGTTCAAGATCAAAATTCCTCTGATTTTGTTGGTAGAAGCAGCAAGGCCGATGACAGTTTAGACAAAGAAGATGAAGAAAACTTCCAAGCATCCCCAACCAATCCACCAAGATTTCCAGTCGACGATATTGATGAGGACGTCAGTATGCGCTCAAAAAGCGAGATGCCCACAACTTATGACAATATTAATGACACTGACGAAGAAGATCTCCCTCTGGACGTCATGGATGAAGTCACTGGATCTCTTGAAGAGCTCCGCGCTCTCAACAGCCAACATGAGCCTATGGATTCGACTAGAAACTCAGATAGAAGCCGAAGGCGCGATCTTCTTTTGTCCGGTGGAATTCCAGATCGAGCTGAGAGCTTGCCGAGAAGCTGGGTTCCGGATAAGACAAAGACGACAGAGGAAAAAGAGCCTCTGGATCTGAGGGCAAGGCTGGAGAATGTGGCGTTGACAGCGATGGCAAATGCCTTGGAGTCCATTGAAAGACAGGAAGTCACTGAGAATGGTCCAAAAAATAGATATGGAGTTACTCCGGAAGATGATGTTAAGTTCAAAGACACGAGGAAGGAAATAATCAAAAGTCCAGCGGCGTTGCAAGCGAAGCGGTTGTTTGGCACCTCCAGGAGTGATGTAAGTTGAAATTTCGAAAATTTAACCCCATAATTTCCCCGAAAAATCATCATAATTTACATTTGTTCTGTTCATTTCTCCGAACAAACCCTGTTGTTTATCCGACTCGTTTCCTCCGTGAAACTGGATACTCTCCGATTTGAGGGTTTTGAAAATGCCATAACTTGGATTGACAACCGCTCACCGGCGGCGAAGCTGTTTTTCGGGCGGATGTCACAAAAAATTACTCAAAAGTGCGGAGAAAACAAGAAATTGGCCGGGTTTTTGTTTTTGGACGATAAAATTTTTCGATAAAATTTTAATTTTAGGAGCAAAAATTTTTCAATTTTTGAATTTTTTTGGGAAATTAAAAAAAAGTTTTTTTTTTTGAAATTTAAAATTTTTTGTGAAATTTTCTAATTTTTTCTGAAATTAGCAAATTTTCCGCCGAATTTTAGGAGCAAAAATTTTTGAATTTTTGAATTTTTTTGGGAAATTAAGATTTTTTTTGAAATGTCAATTTTTTTTTGAAATTTTCTAATTTTTCCGCCGATTTAAAAAGAATAATTTCCCCGTTTTGTTTGTCCGTTATATACTTCGACTCTTCACATTCTGTTCCCATGGAAACAAAAGGTCTAATTAGGACTTCACTGCGAAATCTCGCCGGAAGGGTCAGTCTTCATTAGACTTTATAACTAATGATCTAGCTACAAAATTGAGAAATTTATGAACGGTTAATTTCTCTATAAATTTGAAAAATTATCTGTTTGGGTGATTCTTGGAGATTTAGTAATCTTGTTTTGCTTTAGGGCATTCTTGGAAATGGATTTTTTAATCTCTTGGGTTTTGGTGAATTTTAATTCTCTTAAAAAAGGGATTAGAGTTGAAAAATTTGGGGAGTTGGCGTTTCAAACTCGCAATCTTTCAGTTTGCAAAGGAATATAAGATTGAATTTAACCCCTCAATTCTTGAACGCTTTTTTCTTTCAGTTAATACAGCTCTAAACGTAATTATTTTCACTTGGTATATACTTGAAGTCGCGTATTTTAAACTGTCTTAATTTTCAAGCGTTGGTTATATTTTTCAGCCCAAGCCCACAGAAAATTCTTCTCCCTGCTTGTTTATCGCACATTCTTGGCCTTCGGTCTAATTTAATTTTCTTGTTTTCATTAGCCTTTCTGTAAGGGGGTGTTTTGACTGGGCTTTTTTTCAATTACACCAGGCAGCAAACAAATTTATCTTTTTACATATGTTTATTAAGAAGCTCGGACAATTTTCCAACAACCTTTTTTACGAGACAATACGTATATAGTAAAATAAGGGGTTTTGTTCGACGAAAAACACTTTTTTTGCAAAAAATCAATGAATACTGCTTTAAAATCAATTGTTTTTTGTAAATAGGTTATACGTATAGCTTCTTGCTTGCTAGCTATAGCACAAAATCGTTTTTTTTTCATTTTTGCAGCCATATTTATTCCAACAAACCTACAACTCCTCGGCCTTCTGTCTTTCTTCTGTTTCACCCGTCAAAATTCCCTGTTTCTCTTCCATTTTCAACTCTAAAAATGATGAATGACCCCCAAAAATTTCGGACCTAATTAGAATACTCCATTGTTCAAACAAGCCCTGAGGCCGTTCGAAACTCTGTGTGGTCCATATGCATTCCGTGGGCATTATTTTGAATTTGTAAGCGCCGGTGTTAAGCCGGAACACGTCCTCCGGGGACAAATGAAATGGGGGCCAGGAAATGTAATTGGATTTGAAATGAATGAATTCCGCCGTTTTCTCTAGTGAAGAGAGAAAAAAAGTTTTGCGTCCACTGCAAATTTTACTTTCTGGATTTGCATTTCGGAAGGTGAAGAGCAATCTTGGAGCTCTGTATTTTGCTAATTTCTAGAGGGATTTGGTGAGAAACCGAGGTGCAAAATGGGTAAGGTTAACTTGGCTGGCAAGATCTTATAAACTATCAAAATATAAAAAGAAATTGTTGGAATTTGGTGCCATTTGGAAGCAAAATTTTAGCAAGACATATGAAGTATGACTACCTTTGAATAATAGCAGAAATTCGACACTTTTAAAGGGTTTTTGTATAAGCTATATAGCCTTAAATAAAGGGCGTATTTTACAAAGTGAAGAGCAACTTTGGAGCTCTGTATTTTGCTAATTTCTAGAGAGATTTGGTGAGAAAGTGAGGTGCAGAATGGGTAAGATCAACTTGGCTGGGAAGGTTTTATAAATTGTCAAAATAAAAAAAGAGTTGGTGCCATTTTAGAGCAAACTTTTTGTAAGACATATACAAGATGACTAGATTTGAATATTAGCGAAAATTCGACACTTTTTTTGGGGTTTTTGTATAAGCTATATAGCCTTATTATAAAGGGCTTATTTTACAAACGTTACCTTGAAAATTTCAGTAGAAATTATATTTTTTAGCGGCATTTTCCAAAAGCTCTCCGAATTTTTGGTCCTTGTTAAGATCAAAGACCATGGCTTGTCATAAACTGCAAAGTAATCAATTACTCTCCAGAAATATGACGCCCACAGCAAAGCTTTTAAAAATTTCCGTGAGATATTCATCCTGCTCATGAATTTATAAATATTGTAATATCTTCTCATCAACAAGTTTCATGTTTCTCTCAACCTTTGCAGCCCTTCAGGCATTTACTGTAGTCATCACAGACCCTGGAAAAACATGAAGACTATCTCTTTACCTTTGAATTTTCAGATGTCCGCAGTCTCCACGTTTGCCGGCGACTATGCGGACTTCCCAATGGCCGACGATGAAACGGCTCCTGTGAGCATTCCTATTGCAAAAGTTCCAAAACCTGTGCTGCGACGAAGATCACCACCAATTGCTTCGGAAGACGAGCTGAGTGAAAGTGAGATCAGTGAGTTGGAAAGGCAACTAGCATCTGGCGGTGCTTTCGACGCGCCTTACGCTACAAGGAAATACGATTTGAGACAGGACTTTGATTCAGGTAGGAATTTAGACCATTGTCATCGGACTGAGTTAATTTTTTTGGCGTTTAGGGAAGATTGATGACTTCTTTTGATAGACAGGGTATTAAAAAATTTTTGGAAGTTGCTTTTCATGATAGATAGTGAGTATTTCGACTATTTTTTAAACAACAACTCGTTTTGAAAAGGAAAAATCAAACGGCCTGAAGCGTGATCTCGTGGTGTAGTGGTTATCACATCTGTCTAACACACAGAAGGCCGGCGGTTCGAGCCCGCCCGAGATCAAATCTTTTGTGTGGTGACTTTTTGAGGAGGTTTATGACTTCAGAGCTTTGCGATCTTCGTACGAACCGTTAAGGAAGAACATTTTGAAGAAGCAAGAGCTAAAAAAAATTTTGAAAGTTGTTTTTCATGACAGGTAGTGAGCATTTTGACTATGTTCATCGAAACGCCTTTTTTTGGAAGAGGAAAAATCGAAAGCCCTCAAGCGTGATCTCGTGGTGTAGTGGTTATCACATCTGTCTAACACACAGAAGGCCGGCGGTTCGAGCCCGCCCGAGATCAAATATTTTTTTTGAGACCAAGATGTGTTGTCATACGATTAGATCAAGTGTGATGATATTTTTTGTTGCGACGCCAAGCACAGAATATCTCATAGTTGCCTGTCATAAGCAGTAATATTGAAATTATGCTAACGATAAGCAGGTATAGAGTTTCGCACAAAACGTCAATTGCTTTAGTATTAGGGTGTTTTAGGTAACAATTTATTAATTATAATTCAAATTTTACTTGAATCTATGTTATCGTCGATTAATACTATTTCCGTCTGCGTATATATACTGCAATCGGACTTAAAATTAGTGTTTTTTTTGACGTTTGGGGAGTTTTATGACTTCTGAATCCGGCGGCGTTCCGAGAAATCGATTAGAGAAAAGGTTTTGGCGGAGGAGGTATTTAAAAGTTTTGGGAAGTTGTCTTTCATGATAGATACTGAGTATTTTGACTATTTTATATCGAAATGACTCGTTTTGAAAAGGAAAAATCAAACAGGATTGAATGTGATCTCGTGGTGTAGTGGTTATCACATCTGTCTAACACACAGAAGGCCGGCGGTTCGAGCCCGCCCGAGATCAAAACTTTTTTTTTGTGTGCAATTAATGTTATCAGACAATTAGATCAAGTGTGATGTATAAAATTTTGACGTTTAAGGGGTTTATGACTTTTGAACTTTGCGGCATTCTTAGAAACCGTTTACAGGAAAAGTTTTGACGGAGGAGGTATTTAAAAAATTTTGGGAAGTTGTCCTTCATGATAGGGAGTGAGCATTTTGACTGTTTTGTTTTCGAAAGTCTCGTTTGGAAGAGTGAAAATCAAACGCGCTCAAACGTGATCTCGTGGTGTAGTGGTTATCACATCTGTCTAACACACAGAAGGCCGGCGGTTCGAGCCCGCCCGAGATCAAATCTTTTTTGTGGTGAATTTTTTGGCGTTTGGGAGGTTCATGACTTCAGAGCTTTGCCGTCTTCCTACGAACCGTTAAGGGAGAAAATTTTGAAGAAGGAGGTGTTAAAAAATGTTGGGAGGTTGCTTTTCATGATGGATAGTGAGCATTTTGGCATTATGTTGACCTAAACGTCTCGTTTGAAAGAATGAAAATCGAACGCGCTCAAACGTGATCTCGTGGTGTAGTGCTTATCACATCTGTTTAACACACAGAAGGCCGGCGGTTTGAGCCCGCCCGAGATCAAACGTTATTTTGTGACGAAATTCTCAAAAAACTTTTATCTTTTTGAGAAATTACAGAGGGCTCATTCCAGAAGTAAAATTTTTGAACCTTTTTCCAGCTTGATTAAAACTATTTCAGTCTATAAATTGAGCATATCGCGTAGGTCTGGGAGAGTTCCAATCAAATTGTTCCCGAATTTAGTCCGTCAAATCCCGAAAACACTTTTCTTCGTGGGGCATAAATTTGCGGCCCATGTTTGGAATATTTAAAAATGGTTTTCGGCCGCACCACAAAAAAACTCTTTTCATAAAAAATCTCTTTTTATGCGAAGGCAAAGTTGTCTACAACTCGTTCATCTTCGAAAGATTTGGTCTCGAAACATTCCTCGAGAGTCTTCGGCCCCCCGTTTTTTCTCATTTAAACGGCCAAAGGGATTTTGAAAAGTGGACGTTGGGGTTAAGTGAAAACGGGAGCGGCATGGTTTCCAATTTGTTCGCCGGCGAGCTTTATAAAGGGGGTCGAGAACAAATACGCCGATGGTTAGAATTGCATATTCTTTTAGTCATCGCACGCAAGCACTTTGGCGTTTCGGCATTTTAGCGTCTTGGAGTTTGGCTGAAATGTTGGACTTTGGCACGAATCATCTTTGAAAGGCGGAATATGTTAGTTGAAGGGGTTTGGTGATATATGTAAAATGATTTTTATTGTCTCTAAAAGTCAATGATAGCCATTTGAAAACCTTTTGTTGCAGAATTACCCTTATACTTGTGTGTTTTATGCCCCTAAATCTTGCATTTTCACTCCAACAAGAGTGCATCTCAACATCTGAAGACTTCAGCAAACTCTTTGCAGGCAATAATGAGATATTCAAAAAAAATTTGGAACACGTCTTTCATGATAGGCAGTGAGCATTTTCATTATTTTCATCTCAACGCCTTTTTTGGAATAGTGAAAATCAAACGCGTTCAAACGTGATCTCGTGGTGTAGTGGTTATCACATCTGTCTAACACACAGAAGGCCGGCGGTTCGAGCCCGCCCGAGATCAAACGTTTTTTGTGGTGAATTTTTTGGCGTTTGGGGGTTTATGACTTCACAGCTTTGCGGTCTTCCTATGAACCGTTAAGGAAGAACATTTTGAAGAAACAAGAGCTAAAAAATTTTGAAAGTTGTTTTTCATGACAGGTAGTGAGCATATGTTCATCGAAACCCCTTTTTTGGAAGAGTGAAAATCAAACGTGCTCAGACGTGATCTCGTGGTGTAGTGGTTATCACATCTGTCTAACACACAGAAGGCCGGCGGTTCGAGCCCGCCCGAGATCAAATATTTTTTTGTGGGCAGTTTAGTTGTCATACAATTGTAGATCAAGTGTGATGATTTGCTTGCTTTTTACTTCAAATCTTTAGTTGTAACGTCGAGTGGAGAATATTTAATAATTGTCAGAAATCAAAAAAATTGACTGCTCATCATTCTGACTTTTTCATTTTTGCGGCAAGCTCAGAAAATGCGAAATCTCTCAACCATTTTCAAACAATAAACACTGATTTTCGGTTTAAAGGGCCCTACTTCAAAAGGTTGTAGCGACCTCATTTTGCGCTTTAAAATCTTGTTATTTCGTAGACAAAAAACAACGTCGCTTAAAAATACATATTCCAAAAACTAACTCTCTGCGGCGCCTCCGCCGAAGGCTATAGCCTCCGACTTTCCTTCGCGTTTCTTGAAAGACCCTGTACGTCCTCCCCGACCCATAACCCCATCAACTTATCTCTCCCTCCATTTGGCACAAATCCAATTAACGAGAGACAAAAACTTGTAGACATATCCCTTACCCCCTCCTTCCTCTTTTCTCTAAACATTTTTTTTAATTTTAAGTTTCTGCACGTCAAATCCACCAACAAACGACTAAACCCCAGACCTCCCCGATTATTCGAATTTTCGTTGTATGCCGGCTTTTTCCACACTTTCCCAATTCCCCATTCTTATGTGGGTTAGAGGTTGAAGGGAATTGTGAGCGCCTCGCTTTTAGTTCTTAAGCTGTAACGCAAGTTAGCCCTGATTAGTTATGCAGCATGGGAAAAACATGGTGCTCGTGGTCGGGGGTTGACCACGAGCACCATGTTTTTTCAGCACTCTTTATTTTACGTTTGGGATTTTGAAGGAGAACTATCGAGTATAAATATTTTAGGGTTTTATTTACTCGAAGCTAGAGTGTAGTATTTCCTTCAAATTTCGTTTAGATACTGTAGCTAGGTTACATAATAATTTCTAAAAACTTTTAGCTTGCCTTTCGGCAAGTTTTTTCAGTGATCTTTTTGCGAAAAAGTCCTGGATGCGGCGGTTCTGTAGCCCAATTTGAATTGGCCATAACTTTTTTAGTCTTTGGCCAAATCTTAAAATTCTTCTTTTTCCTGAATCCCCAGGACTTGAATTTTTTCTGACACCAAGTATGCTATACCTTGGGTTAATTTACATGCATTTTTATCATTCAGAAAATTAAAAAATCTCGAAAAGATTAGGAAAAAATTTCCCGATGAAAATTTTGGGTTGTCTTTTCAAAAATCTCGATTGAAAAATGGAAAGCATTTTTTGTATTTTACAATTTCCCAGGCCTTTTTTCACATTAGAATCTCTTAACCCGAATACAGAACATCTTTTTTTTGCTTACCCGGGATCATTTTCTTGGTCTCTCCGCTGGGAAAAATAGCTGCTGGTGTCGTGCTCAAACACATCACTGCAACGAACTTTAGAGCATAACAATCCAAGTAAAAATGGCGTTCTTGTTTTTTCCGGGACCCTTGTGCAAGGAAATATTGCATATTTTATCACTGTTTCGAATGGGGTGTGAAGAATTTTTAACGGTTACTATGGGAAGGACAAATGGAAATTCAAAACTTTTTTTTTTGCCAAAACGATGACTTTAAAATGTACGGGGGCGGTTGAGAATTGGGAGTTTATAGTTAGATAAAAGGTGTTTTCACCAAAAGAAGTCGAAACTTCTGAAGCTCTTACTGTACCTATATTTATAAAATAAAGGCAAGAGTACAAACGTTGTCTCAATAAAAACGCCCTTTCTTCGTTATGGGAAACTTTTCTGACGTGGTTGAACGGGGGTTGTTTAGACATCATCTCCTTGTCCATGGGAAAGTAATACGTTTTGTAGCGAATGGTGGAGGTTTTCACAAAGTTTTGCAGTGATTATGGTTTTCGGAGTCTTGCGGGCGACCATTTTGCGGGCAGCTAGTAGAATCACGGAGATTCTGCGGGCATTTTGGAAATCAGCCATTTTTTTACAACAGGAAATTCAAACGGTTGATTTTGCGGTTAGATGTTACGAATTAAGTTTTTTTGGTGTATAAGTGGCTTGAATAGTTGCCATAAGGCTAAACAGGTATTTTTACCAGTTTTTGAAAACAATCTTCCATAACTTTGAAAGCAGTGGCTGAATTTAATGGATTCTAGTACCTATATGTATCAAGGAATTGCCACGTCAAACTGAGGAGTCCGGTGACCAGAATAGACTGTTCGCTATCGGTTTTTTACACTTCGTGATGATTTTGTAGAGAAGACAGAGAGAGACGCGCAAAAACGTACTCTCTCGCCCCCAAAGATTCCCCATTTCTTCCCCGACAAAAAGTTTCATCGCCTCTTTTTTTGCCAATCCACTCACCGGGCTGTTTTAGTTTATCTCAGTTTGACGTGAGTTGTCAATGCAAAATTTCTATCAAACTGCGTAGATTACGGGAGGAAAATTGTAATTCTAATAGGACAATTTCGGTTGCCCGCAAAGTGGTTGCCCGCAAGTGTCCCGAAGCCGGCTTTTCAATAAATGGTACCCAGTCTTGATCAGCTTTTTTAAACAGGTTATAGTTTTAAATATGACAAGGCTAACATCTTAAGCCCTTCTCGAACCGTAGAGGTCGCAAAACCAAGTTGGCCATAACTTTTTATGAGATATCTAACTCAACTCTCATCTCAAACACATTTTCCGCCATATCCCCATAAAGGAAGTGTTCTTTGGCCTTCGAAAGCCGTGAAAATTCAGGGTTCGGTGTATTGGTGTTTTCGCTCCGTAGGATTATGGCCTATGGTTCATTTCATCGAGACGTGGCATTCCTCTCACATTTTGTTTCGTAGAAAGTCCAAGAATTTCAAGGAGTCTCAATATTTAATGTTCAATTTTTTCAATTTGATAGTTACCGCTTCTACTGCTGAAAAATTTGAAAATCATTACCTAGGCACCCCTAAACTTCTATTCTCACCTCATTTCAGACGACAGCGCGGACGAGGAGAACATGCCGTCGGCGGCATGTCAGTCCGAGCTCAGCGCCCACCACTTGTATGCCATGGCCGGCTCCTCCTCGTTGCCGTCGTTCGCCTTCACCGCTGATGTCTATGAGACGCTGGCCGAGGAGATGGTCAAAGATCAGCGGGATCAGCTTGAGGAGACTGCACAGTGGCTTAGGAAGAGCAAAACGCAATGTTTTGAAAATAACGCCGTAGGTGTTTTTTTAAGATTTTTTTCATTTTTAGGTTGGAAATTAGAGAAGATATCGTTTAAAGCGTTGTTTTTTTAAAATTTTTACGAATTGTGAGGCTGTCGGGAAAATAATGAGCGCTCTGACGCATAGAAAATCCACATTTTACTCATTATTTTCCCGACAGACCGATTTTTCAACTTTTTTGTAAATTTGAAAATTATTCAAATTTACTGAAGTGTGTTTGAAAATCATTAAAAATAACTTCTTGTTTGTCATTTTGACTTTTGCTATCTCCTTTTCCCTTTTATTTTCTCTCTCCAATCTCTCCAAGGCCTTCGAAAAGTGTTCCTCGGTAGTATAGTGGTAAGTATCCGCGCCTGTCACGTGCGAGACCCGGGTTCGATTCCCGGCCGGGGAGAAAACTTTTTGCATGATTTTTTCTTTCAAATTCGTTTCAAATATTGCAGTAAAATTTTTCTGTGTCGTATCTTAAAGCCCAAATCCTTTAAAATATCTTTTTATTCTGTCAAATCCCAAGATTAATTACAGGATTTATCTTTTCTTCCATTTTTCTCCTTTTAGGAGAAGGAGAATGGGCAATGGTATGATAGATTTTGCTTTGGAAATGAGGAGAAAATTGAAGTGGAAGTCTGCAGCTTCTGGCCTTAAGACCTTTTGGAAAGCGGGTATTACTGAATAGTTGGAGAAAAGCGGGCGTTTCAAGAGGGGTTTTGGGATGGAGAATACTAATTTTCGGCGGATGGAATTGGTTTTGCTGAATTATTAAGGCCTAAAATCCTGGGAGATTCCCTGATTTTGGATTTGAGGCATTTGTAAAATACGAGATGTGGGGTTTTTGTCTCATCTTTAGAGACAAAAAATTTCGAAAACGATGATATTTTTGGTCAAACTTTGATGTCTAATGTATAATATAATGCAAATATTTTGCTGAAATTTGATTTTAAAATCATTTTTAACATCATAAACTTCTTGTCGTTGACTAAATCACCGTTCTTTTCAGCCTCCGCCGGGTCTAAATTCCAATTTTGGCTCAAGACGTCGGATCTTACCCATGCGGCCGGATGATGTTCCATCAGCTCAAAGTGAGTTAACATCTCTTAAATATCACTTAATCTGTTTAATGTTTACTTTTCATTCTTAAATCTTATTCCAATTTTCCTCAATTTCAAGTCTAAAATTAGCAAAAAAATAAAAAAATACCAAAAAAAAACTTCCAAAACCGCCTCAGGCTTTCTTCATAAAATTCGCCTGGTCTCGGTTTTGGAGACCTTGTGCCAAAATTGCCTTTGGCAAACATCTTCTCATGACGCCTTTTTCGGGACCCTTCCCTAAATGACTTTTCTTTTCGGCCGCCTCTCCGATTGCGCAATGCGGCCGAAACGACGGCTTTTTCTCTCGGTTTTCCGGGTTTTCATTTGCCCTTCCGCGACGAGACGGAGTCCCGAGGATATTGCGAAGGCAAATTCTTTAGTTTTTCATAAGAAACCGACTTTTCTAAGGTCGTTTTGAGGAGGAGTAAGCTAAATTATAGACTTTTGGGGTGTTGTATGTAGGTAAAATACGATTAATTTTAGAAGAGCCGATATAAGATGAGCTGTTTTTGAGCTTATTGAGCGTTCTTATGGCTTCAAAACGCCAAAATAAAATTCAATTTTCACTGATATCCTTTTTTTATTTTTTCGGCCAAAAGCGGCCGAAATCTGCACAAAACGTCCAAAAATTTGATTGGTTACATATAACACGTCATAACTTTGCTATAATTCACATTTATTGAAAAATTTTACATTTGCGCCGAACTTTTTTCTTTGCCAAAGTCTGATGCCATGGGTAATATAAATTTGATTGTTCTGGTCTAACTTTTCCATCGTCTATCCGTAATTTGCAGTAAAAAGTAATGGCGAAGTAATAGTTGTTCTCGGCAAAAGAATTCGAACTCATTTCCTCGCAGAGAATGGGGGGAATTGCCTCCATTTCTCAACGGGAACGGCCAGAACAAGGCCAATAATATTTTTTGTTTTTGGAGGCCTTGTGATGACCAAAAATGCCTTCTTTTTTACGCGTGGTTAATCGTTGGGCTGCTGCGCAAAAAACATGTCAGCTGAGCGATGATTTGAAAATACCATTGGTTTTTTGGTCGATTTTTTTCAAGCCAAAATTTATCCGGTAGATGTAGCTGGAGGCTCTTTCTATCCAATTTTAATGGATTTAATGGAACCCCCATGTCGGGAAAATTACATTAGGCTGTCGAAGAGCTCTTGAAATGACGCCATTTTCGTTGAAATTAAGATAAGACATGGTCTTCCAACGAATAAAAAAAGTTGCGCAAATCTTGCAAATTCCTAATTTTGTAGGCTTAAAAATTAGATACATTTACTTTATTTTTCGTGTCAATTTTGGCAGGTTTATGAAATTTGCCATGCCTTCAAAAACATGCGAATTTTTTGCTCAAATAACTGGCTATTCTGAGAAATTGTTAAGCAAAATTGAAGGATGTCTTCTGTTTATTTTTGAGGCGTCGTTGAGAGTCGTTTTTCATTCCTTCCGGCAATTTTAATCTTCTCCCAAAAACTCAAATAGCCTGAGGCAAACATGGGGGCTTTAGAGGGAATGTGATGGGGGAGGAAAAAGCTTTTTCAAGTCTTTTTGGAGAATAGTACTAGTAAAAGAAATAGTTATGTGGTATCTTTTCTTTGAATAGAAGGGGGTTCGTTGGATACATGGATACCTCATATGTATTGTATTTCATATATGAATCCTCTTGTAGGTGCATTTCGGATATTTATCTGTCTGTCTGGAAAATAATGAGCATTCTGTCGCAGCAAAACTCGAAATTAAAGATATTGGCGAAGGCTTTGTCGCTACAACGGCGGACCTCATCCAGCTGCAAAAAAGCGTCTCATTTTGCATCCGGGAAGTATCAAAAATTGTAGGAAAATACCTCCTTCTCCAAGTGAAAAAACTTGGATTTTACGCGCGCGTTCGCTCTTTTTGCAATAAGCCTTTTAAAACGGAGTTTTTTTAGTTGGGGAAGGAGGCATTTTGCTGCATTTTTTGATACTTCCTGGATGCAAAATGGTACGTTTTTTGCCACGGCAGACTGATAGTTCTACACTGTGATAATAGTCAATTCTTGATAAAAAAATTTTTTGTGAGAAGCCATGAAAAATGAGGAAAGTAGGCCAGAGAAAAAATGCTGTTTTTTTTACAAAATTTCATTTCTTCTGCCCGAAAGGGAGTTTTTTTTTGGTTTTTTCGAACTCTCAATTTCTGTTTGAGTGACATCTTTATCTTCCATTTGAATCTTCATGGGACTTGAACGAGCAATGTTGTCTTCTTTCCGCAGTTTTTCAAACAAACGTTTTATATCAAACTTTCAACCGACATGCTTCAATTTTTCAATTTTATCGACCTTTTTGAACTTCAAAATTTTTTCGAAACTTCCCAAATTTGAAGTATAAATTTTCAGTCCATCCCACACCTGCTCAGCCATTAGTCCGTGCATTCACTCAAGAACAACATCAACAGCTGCGGCAGGTCATTCAAAACGACGCGGCCAACGAGAATATTGTCCTCGCGACTCCGAACTCCCTGGAACACGCCAAGAAATTGCACTCGACAACGGTAATACAGAGCTCTCCGCAAGTTCATGTGCCTCGACGTCTGCCAACGTTGCCGGTAGAGGGTGCCAGCGCTCAATATAACATGTACAATGGACCAAGTGGTTCAGCAACAAATGTGCCTATAGGTAAGAAGAGAGAGAGAGAGCTTTGGATGGCGAGCTTGGACGCTGTGTCAAAGCTTACCATACGAAACATATATCAAAAGATAGCGTTTTCAAAGTTCTTTCAGAAGCTCTCAACAGAAATTTTAAAATCTTACTGTAACCTGTAAAAAATGCAAAACAAAAAACGGCGGAGTCATACTTCTAGACCTAATACAAAATATAGCAGAAAGTTTTTGCGAATATCTTTGTGCTCTTTACAGCTATTCGAGAAGTTGAAATAGATTTTGAAATTTCAGGTTGGGCGATTTTAGAGTATAAGAAAAAAAAAATGAAAAAGAATTTTGCTCGCGTCGGCGGAGAGACTATTTTTCGGCGGAGACATTTGATGTCTTTTTTAAAACTACATCGCAATCAGAATGTTTCATGGAGTCATTTTGAACCAAATTTTGTATACATACTTTAAATTGGCTATAAATGAATCATAGCAAATTTTGTCTATGGACCTAGCAGAGCAGCTGAGATATTGCAAATTTTTTTCGAGTGGTTACATTCTCGTTAATCTGAAAAGATCGTGTGATATCTTTGCGGTATCTATATGGTTTGGCAGGTGAACTTTTCTATAGCAAAGCTCTGATATCTGTCAAGCATTTTTGCCAACTTTGAAGAAGATATAATCATAGCGCTTCAGGCATTTTCAATTTTAAGATTTTTTTCCAATTTTTTGTGTTAAGAAGTTTCGATTTTAGTATCCTTAAAATTCATACGAAAAATTTGTTTCCAGTTCCCAAATACATTCCACGTCACGCCCCGCCGTCGAATCAAATAATCCCCCGAGGCACTATGGCCTCTCAAGCCGGGCATCGTCACGAATATCAGTTGTCGTACGGAATCGAGCAATCCTTGGTCCGCTCCTCCACAAATTACGGGTTAGAGGACAGCTACTACGAGGACGGACTGAACGGCAACACCGCCATCTTCGACCACAAACGACCGGTCTATGCGGCCGAGGATTCGTCGGGAATCTCGTCGTTTACGTCGGACCCAAATCCCACCGGCGGCCCCACTCATCGCGCCCAATTTACGTTTGTTCCGAGGCATGATGATGAGGTTTTGATGGAAGTGGGAGATGCGTTGAGGGTCGAGAGGGAGTATGAAGATCATTGGTGTTATGGGATAAATTTGCGGACCGGCCAAACGGGACTGTTTCCGGCGGCGCATGTGTGTGAGATCGATTTGATCGAGGAGATCAGCAATAGTGTGCTGAATCCGGGACAAGGTGAGTTGATATGGACTTTTCCGCAATTATTTTTTAATTTGTGTTATACCAAATCGTTGAATCATGATTTTTAAATATACGATTCGCCAAGGAATCTTCCAGTTTTGACTTAATCTTTATCTTGGGGCGAACGTACAGTGGCGGACCTGATCCAGTGGCAGAAAACGTACCATTTTTTATCCAGGAAGTATCAAAAATGTAGCAGAATACCTTCCTCTCCAGGTGAAAAAAACTAGAGTTTGAAAAGCGCGCCCTTCAAAACGGAGTTTTTTTTTAGTCTGTGAAGGAAGCATTTTGGCACATTTTTTGACACTTCCCGGATGCAAAATAGTACGTTTTTCGCCACTGTAGGCAATGTTTTGATCTCCCTCTCCAAGCGAAAGAACTACAATTTGGGAAGCGTGCCCGCTCTTTTTGTGAGAAGCCCTTCAAAACGGAGCTCTTTTAGTTGGAGAGGGAGGCATTTTGCTACATTTTTTGGTAGTTCTCGGATGCAAAATGATACGTTTTTGCCACTGGATCAGGTCCGTCACTTTAGAGCAAAATTTTCATCATATTCTTGTGCTCACTAAATTCATTTTCCAAATATTAGAATTTAATCACTCCCATTGTTTCACAGCTATTCTTACCCTCTTATTTCCAGGTAAATCTCCAGTCTCATCCGCGGAACGCGACACTTTCTATTTGACAATGTTGGCGTCGATTGAAGTGGCGCATCACAAAGGAAATGATGTCCTGGTGCAGGCGATCAACAAGGTCTGCGAGATGTACCAACGGAAAGAGGAAATCTTGGTTCCTCAAACAGTCCTAATGGAGGTTTCCTTCCGCGGAATTCACATTATCGACAAACGGAAAAAAGATGTGAGTTTTGGGATTTTTTGGCCTTCAAAAAATTGCCATGAGTTCATTGCATTAAAAATTTGATTTCAGATTTTCCGTTGCCCAACATTCGACTACTTTTATTCGCTGCAAAATATTTCGTTTTGTGGCGCTCATCCCACCCAATTACGGTACTTTGGCTTCCTAACCAAACATCCCCTCTTGCCACGCTTTGCATGCCATGTCTTCTTGAGTCAGTCGTCAACGCAACCCATCGTTGAGTCAATCGGGTAAGGACTTTTATTCAATTGAAAACAAAGTTTTTTTTAAAATATGGAATTGGTATTTTAGAAGTACCTCATCTTAATTCCCATTGGATACTACAGTCCTTAGCTTCATATGAAGAGTTTTTCAACTCAAAAAATAGAAAAAATAGTTAATCAAACTCTCTACTTTCAGCCGCGCCTTCAAGCGCTCCTACGACGAATACATGGCGTTCGCCCATCCCACCGAAGACATTTATATCGAATGAGCTTTCAAATGCTGCTTTACATCAGGTCTCAGCCAATAACCTTACATTTACACTGTTGTACAATACTCTGGTCACTTCGAATTACAGCAAATTCAAGCAAAATGGGTCGTATTTAATAAACATTATGTTCATCACAATTACACTTATTTTATGTGAATAAGAAAGCTGAATAACAAAGCTCTTGCCAAAAGTCACGGTTGAATCTTAGCCGCGGCAAATTGAACCGCCTTCCCGGTAACGTAGTAGTATTGACAGTAATCTGTATGCAAGTTTTGGCTGATTTGCCAAAGTCCGTCGGTTTGGAGGACGTTCAGACGACAACGGTTGTTTCCGGCCTAGAAAAAGAAAATAGAAGGATAATGAAATTTGGATTTATGCACGACTGCTTAGAAAATCGCTTCGTATTTTATAAAGTCACATTAGATTTTCTTGATTTTTTTCTTCCAACGCTATTTTTTGGCATAAAGGTTAGCCCCACTGACATGGCGGTTTTAGCTTTCAACCGCAGCAGCCTATAAAAGAAGACGACTAGTCTCTGACCTCTATCAAACTTCCACAATTTTTGGCGTACCTTCGAGAAGGTCTAGTGCAACGTACTAATATTTATAACAACCTTTTTCTATAAACCCTGAGCGTCGCAAGGCGGGTACCTTGAAATGTGATAGTTTCAAAATATTTTTCGTATAAAGGGATTACAAACTATATACATGGGGGATGTGATCTAGTGGCAAAACGCGTACCATTTTGCATCCGAGAAGTATCGAAAATGTGGCAAAATGCTTCCCTCTCCAAATGAAAAAACTCAGATTTCAAAAGCGCGCCCGCTCTTTTTGTGAGTGAAATGGCGGTCGCGTCCATCAAAACGGAGCTTTTTCACTTGAAAAGGGAAGCATTTTTCTACATTTTTGATGCTTCATGGATGCAAAATGGTACGTTTTTTGCCACTAGATCAGGTCCCTCACTGTAGTCAGGTCAAAAGTAAATTTTTTTGACTTTTTTGCTACCCTTGGAGTCCGTCAATTCACTGGCTTATTCTTCACAAAAAGAAGAAGACATTCTCAGGCATTCAAAACTCACATCTTCAAACAATCTTTTCGCATCGTAATCCATGATCTCATCGCCATACTTGATGATTATTGAGAAGGTGGAAAGCTGGGGAATCTTGTCGCAAGCGATGTAGAAACTTCTGTCGTCGGTGCCGTTCTCTAGCTTCCAACGCTCACTCAAGTGCTGAACAACTTCGGCGGGGAAGAAATTGTCTTTGTCTCCAGAATCCAGCGTGATTGTTGACTTGTAGTGGAAGCCAACCCCACCAAGCATATAACTATAATAGAATATAAACAGAGGTTAAAAATGGGGCTTGAAATGATAATGATGCATAAAAAGATGATAAAAAAGAAAAAAACTTCACAAACGAAAGGTAAGATACTTGAATAATATGTAATATACAGTGGGGGACCTGATCCAGTGGCAAAAAGCGTACCATTTTGCATCCGGGAAGTATCAAAAATGTGGCAAAATGCTTCCCTCTCCAAGTGAAAAAAACTTCGTTTTGAAGGGCGCGCCGTGAGTTTTTCATTTGGAGAGGGAGGTATTCTGCCACATTTTTTGATGCTTTCTGGCTGCAAAATGGTACGTTTTTTGTCACTGTGTCAGGTCACCCTCTGTAACCAATTTTTTATTAAGCAATCCTAACCTACCCATTAACTCTAAATGTCCAAAGTGGTTGCGGCTGATATGAAATTTGCGGTCGAAACCACATCCCATCACAATTTTCTTCATCCTTATCGCCAAATGTTATCTTCCCAGCTAATTGTGTACTACTATTGACCACTGGATTGTTATACACAGTAAATACCGGATAACTGAACGTTTTTACGTAGTCGTGCAAAGGCGATGTGAAATCGAAATATTTGAAAGGAGTTCGGCCAAGTTGAAAGCCAATCCCCAGAACACCATCAATTTTGGGGAAATCGGATGCATTAATGTTGCGGAAAGCGGTGACCAATTCAATCTTTTGCTTTTTCACCTCAAACCCGTTGATGGTTACGGTTTCTGTGGCTCGTTGGGCGGTCAAGTGGATATGCCGGTACGTTTCGAGGAACGTTCCTTTATTCTCGCTGTCCAGCTTGAAGCTGGAGGATCTTCTAAAATTATGGATGCTACAGTGGCGGACCTGATGCAGTGGCAAAAAATATACAATTTTGCAACCGGGAAGCATCAAAAAAAGTAGCAAAATACCTCCACCTTCAGGTGAAAAAAAACTCAGATTTTAAAAACGCGCCCTTCAAAACGGGGATTTTTAGTTTGAGAGGGAGGCATTTTGCCAATTTTTTGACACTTCCCGATGCAAAATTGAACGTTTTTTGCCACTGTAGGCAATGTTTTGATCTCCCTGTACAAGTAGAAAAACTCGGATTTCACAAGCGCGCCCGCTTTTTTTGTGAGAAGCCCTTCAAAATGAAGTTTTTTTTAAGATGGAAAGGGAGGCATTTTGCCACATTTCTTGGTAGTTTTCGGATGCAAAATGATACGTTTTTGCCACTAGATTAGGTCCGGCACTATACACACTTTTGTCAGACCGATGACAGTTCGGTAATCTGTCAAGTATCCTTTACTCCATCCAGTAGAAACAAACTTACAGCGGTTTGAACGTATTGATTTCTTTGCTGACTTGAGCGGTCAGAATTCCATCCAAAACAAAGAATTTCGCCGTCCCAGTGTCCAGAGCCAAGTTCAGATATTGAGGTGGAGTCCCGACGCCAACTCTGACAGTGTAATAACCGGCTAAACAGAATTTAAATTTAGTATATCTATAATAGATTTGAAAATATCTTACCTTGTTTTGACAGCATTGGAAGACTAGGAGCTTCATTCTTCACTGCTGTAGCTGCAGCGGCTGCAGCGGTAAAAGCAGAAAATATAATTGTTTTAATAAAGGCAGCCATTTTCTATGCGAAACGGCGAACGAACTATAGAAATTTAATGAGCTCTTTATAAGCAGAGTTTTGTTATCAGGGATTAAAAATGAGGGGTGATAAGGAATGCAACGATAAATCCTTAATTAAAGATTAAGAAACAAGGTATTCTGTCAAAAAATTGATCACGTTTTATCACTGACTTAGATAGCCAAGTTGTAGAATAAGTAGCAGAGATGTCGTCAACTTTTACCAAGCAAATTTTTTTTACATATGGGTTTTTTCGCTATTGAATCCGACAAAAAATCTTTTTGAATCCAAGGAGATATTCTTTGCCAAAGGAAGAAAAGATTTTGTCAAACGGAGAGACCGCCAGACGCCAGAGAAAAAAGTTTTCCCATTCCAAAGTTTACACACTGTTCGAAAGAAAGAGTTCGGAAATTGAGAGATCGCAAAACGTCTGTGAAAATCTTGTTACCCCAACTTAAAGTGCCTTTCGATTTCTATAAAAGCTGAAGTTTTGGCGGGTGTGTCAAGAATCTATCTGCCAGGGCGGAGTAACCGGATGTTCGTTTGCCGCTTCTATATTGCAGTTTCAGAGGAGTGGCTGAAAACGCTTGCTGCAATATTGTTTTGGAAAGGGCAAACCCTGGGTTGTCCTGATTTTTCATGAAAATGGTTTGAAGTAACATTTATTCGATAGAGCTAACAAAATTTACATACATATGACAACAATCAACAATGATATTTTCCTATGGCTCTGCGGACGGAATGAATCCGACTTTTTTGTCTTGCAACCGGAATTGTACGCAATAATTCTTCAAAAACGATATCCCAAACACCCAACGAGGATTGGCTTCGTTCAGGCGGATCTTCAGCACACAATAATTGGGCTTCTGAAAACAGGGACTTGAGAAAGATTTGACTTGTTTTGTTGTTCGGTAAGAGGCACTATTTTATACTAAGACACTATAGAAATGATGAATGCGGTGCTTTTCTGTTGCTTCGACCTACCGTTTCCTGGATGTAATCGCTTGGAGGTATTGAAAATTTAAAATCCTTTGTTCCAAACTCCAGCGGCGGCGCTTCATTTCGCCATTTGCAGTTTACAGTATGCACGGGCTTTGTTCGGTTGCGATCGTGGAATGGAGTAAGTGTTTTTGATATAAGTTTGAACATGGGTGTGTTTACAGTAATATACGACGTTAAAGTTGATAAGGCAAAGTAAGGGTACGAAGGCGACTGAAGTTTGTGTGTGCCGAATTTAGAACTGGAATTTATTGTGTTATGTTGATTTTACGTTGGATAAAAATTCTTTAATTGGATGAAAAGGAAAGTCAATTTTCTCAGTCAGCTTGTCAACAATTAGTCTGCAGGAAACTGCGTCATTTTGCAACGCAAAAATTTTGCTGTCACTTTTGTATTGTTAGTAAAGAACAGTGATCAGTCATAATGACTTTGGTTCCACTTCCGGATATTGCCTACGGGATAACGGAACTTACAAGGTGTATTTCATTTCGAACAACTTGCTGCTTTCATTTGTATTGTCGTAGACGTCGAATAATGTCCAATTCGTTTGCTTACAATTCACGTGAGGTGAGGCTTCACCGAATAACATGTACGCTTTGTCATTGTGGACGTTCCTGAAGGCAGTAGGAATGTTATAGTGAAAGATACGCAAAAAAATAAACGTTATGATAGTGTAGCCCCACCAGTCTGTCGAGAAAAATAATGAGCCCTATATTGCTGCGCCGGTCGCGCCGCGGATGTGAAAATCAATTGGATGTGACCAATTCATAGGCGATGCATATCTTGGCGACAGAGTGCTTCTTATTTACTGGTTACACTAGCGGAATTTGTAAAGAAAGTGAACTTGAAGACGCTGTGATCGCGGCTTTTCAAGTCTATATGCAAGTTCTGACAACATGACAAAGAACTTGACATATCGTTGGCCATTTTCTGTCAGGAAGTACAAATTGTGTCTGACTATTTACAGAGCCTGCAAAAGATTTGACGATGAATTGGTAGTTTGCATCCGAGAAAAAGCAGAATTGGCAGGGGGACTGTAGAAATATATCCCCATATGTATTCCTAAAAGCACACAAGCCATAGTATTGAAAACACCACTTCTTTATAGGGATTGCTCGTTTACTCTTTCTTTTTTTTTGAATTTTCCTATCTCAACCAGCTCTAATCCTGTCAGAATTCCATTTCCGTTTTATGAACAATGCAATACACAAGTCTTTCTTTCACAAGCATTACTACTGATCAAAAACTGTCATTGTTTCTAATACATATTTATAAAACCACAAAAGCCCCTTACCTCGGTGTGTACAATGAGATCGTGTTGGCTTTCTTGAAATGCAGGATATTTGAGATTATTCCAATGCCATTCTCCAGGACATCTTGACCAAGTCCGAAGAGTCCATTAGTCGGAAGATAGGAGTAACTGCCAACATCGTAATTCTCAACCACAATAAATCGAATACTCCCAATATTGTCATGATTTAGTTGCATTGCATCAGCGAATATTGTAGTGTCATACTTTTTTATGAGATTTGAAACTTGCTCGTTGGATGATAGTGAAGAGTTTTGTTGAAAAGGCGCTACTCGCAGGGAAGTTACAGAATACCTAAAAGTTGAAATAGGCTTTCAATTTTTGAAATGATAAGCGTATCTGCGCTAGGATGTATTTAAGAAATCACTGCTTACCGAGGATCGTAGTAGGTCTTGTTTTCTCCAATCAAGTCGAGTTCGGAGCTGTTCCCAAATACCCATGTGTTGCTGGTTGTGATGTCCAATGCCAATGTAAAAACTTGGGCTAAAAATATATCTTTTTTATCATACACGGTTTCAAATGCACGGGTGTTTTTCAAGTATTCAATCTTAGTCCAATTTTCTATATAGTGCGCCACATTGTCATCAATGAAAATCTTCATCTCAAAAAATCCGAGATATTCGACTTTTTCAGATATCTCTAGGGTAAAGAAGTCACAGCCAAACGTTCAGACAACATTTGTAGTCTGTACGAGTTATTTCTAACCCAATTTCCCTCTTTTCTTCCAACTACAGCTAATTTTTGACTTAATTTTCCGACAATACTGTCATTTGTAATGCTATAATATGCACCGTAATCTTGTTTATCTGCGCATTTGCTGTTGGCTGGACCCACTTTTGCTTTGCTGCGTTTTTGGACCCAATTTTCGGAAAGGAAGGGTTCCGCTTTTATGACCTTATAAAGGCACGTGGCACGCTCTTCTACAAAGGTGTAATTTCTAATCAAAGTTAGGCAAAAATTTGTGGTGTTTGAACTAGAATGATTACTCAAAATTTATAAAAAATAAGGCGTAAATTAAAAAAAAAAGACTTACGCGGGCTTCCAATGGTAACATTGATTGTGTAAAAATACCCGTCCAGAATCTGCAATTCGATCCCAATTGTGCACTTGGCAATAACAAGTAGGTAGATTAAACCAAGATGCATTCTACAAAAATACTTTTACATTGGTTACAAGGCAGAGGCCTCCCGAATGGAAGTCTGAAAATCGCGAACTCTTTGAATCGTTGTTTTTGTTGGGATTACGCGGATTAAAAATAACAAAGTAAACCCAAAATTTTCAACAGTTTCAAACATTAGTTGTCGGAATCAGTCGTGATTGGGGGTGTTGAAAAACTTGTGTGGAAGTGGGCACAGAGGAGGGATTTTCTGATGCTTGATGCAACCTGAAGATTAATCCGGAATAGTCCGAACAGGTGGACGAAAATCTGGGGGTTACAGCAAAGATTTTTAACAATAAAGTACAATTTTGCAGTTATTTAATTTGAACGAGGGTTGGGGCAAATTTAGAATATACTTTTTTGACAAAGGAAGTCTTTCACGCACTCAGATATGCTTGAAATTTTGCATACGGACTCTAAACCGGCCGAATAGTCCCTGAAAGTTTTGCTTGCGTTTTCCAGCAGCAACTGAGATATTCCAGAGGCGTCGCGACTCTTGCGCGCAACTCTTTTGCTGGCAACCACTTTACTGATTAGAATTGCGATTTTTCTGCCGTAATCTACGTAGAATGATTGAAATTTTGCATTGACAACTCTCTAGTGCTGATAGATATACGAATCTATTGAAGTCATCCACCGTTTTCACAGTTTTGGGAGTTTGTTTTAAAAAAATGCTTCCTGAACCTTCAAAAACGCCTGGTTAACGTTTTGGTAACCATTCAAGCAACTTATGCACCTGAAAACTTTATTCGCCACATCTAACTGCCAAACCCATCGTTTGAATTTCCTGTTGTAGACAAATGTTGGCTGATTTCCAAACATGCGCGCAGAATCTCCATGGTTCTTCTGCCCGCAAAGTAGTTGTAGGCAAGTTCGGGCCCGTCATCTCGCATCAAGAAATCACGGATGGAATGGTGCTACCCAAATTTTTAACGATGGCTATGTACCCGTTTTAGAGAAATGTAAAATTTAGAGGCGGTCGGAAAAGCCCAAATTTTTTACACGGTCAGCTACATCCTTGCTTTTGTATAGCCCTATTCTAAATATTCTCATTTTTACACGACATACCTTCAATTCCCAGACAAGCCTTTTGTCTTTTTTTTTTCAACTTTTTCAATCCTGTGTTAACGCTAAACCTTCAAAAGTTGTACCCATAATGACGTAAACAAAATTTTGACCATTCCACACATTCTTAAAATGTATTTATGTATTGTAATACATAAAGCCGTAAATCTTAAGCCGTAAACACACTGCTCTCATATACAAATTTTTTTGAGGTACAAATTTAATCTTAAGTACAATAAACCAATCATTTGCACTCAAGACTTAAAAAAAACTCAATTAATCCTTGGAAAGGCAAAGATATCCTCCGGAAAGGGCTTCCAATTATCCAAATTGTTTTTTGGCGGCTACGGTAAGCATTCCTCAAACAAATTTTTAAAAAATATGAACGCCTTGCAGGGTTTCTCGCACTCAAATCCTCACAATTTGTCATTCATGAACCATAAATATTATACCTCTAATCTCCCAGCTAGGAGAAATATTTTTTTCCGCATTCCGAAAATTAATTTGCACTCGGGAAAATTTGATTGTAAATATTAGGTTGATGCAAAAGGAATTGCGGATTTTTTAATTTATTCGTATTTTTTCATAGGATAGCTCAATTCAAAAATGGAAAAAGGTATATAGTAGTAAATTTTAAGAGGATTTTTTCTGTATATGTGCTATTCTTATAAAAGTTATCAAACGTTACCATAAGTTACCACGAAGGTACCCTAAACATGTTAGTACATTTTAAACCAATTTTTTTACATATTTTTTTGCGGCTTTATCCATTTTTGAAAATATTTTGATAAAATACGTTATATTCTATCAAAAAACAAAAAAAACCCCCATTTTTGGCAAAGCGTTAAAACGCTATCCCAAAAATTCAAATTTCAGCAAATTTTACAAATCGTGTCATATCTTTTTTTAATAAGTCCAAAATAAAAAATTCTTTTTGCTTTCGATTAGTAACATCATTTTTAAGGCTTTCGTGAAAAAAAGACATCAAAATCTTGAATTTTATTTTTTGGTCAAAAAATGTCAAAAAAATAAAATTTTTTGATTTTGATGTTTTTTGTCACAAAAATCTTAAAAATGTTGTTACTCATCGAAAGCAAAAAGAATTTTTTATTTTGGACTTATTAAAAAAAGATATGACACGATTTGTAAAATTTGCTGAAATTTGAATTTTTGGGATAGCGTTTTAACGCTTTGCCAAAAATGGGGGTTTTTTTGTTTTTTGATAGAATATAACGTATTTTATCAAAATATTTTCGAAAATGGATAAAGCCGCAAAACAATATGTAAAAAAATTGGTTTAAAATATACTAACATGTTTAGGGTACTTTCGTGGTAACTTATGGTAACGTTTGATAACTTTTATAAGAATAGCACATATACAGAAAAAATCCTCTTAAAATTTACTACTATATACCTTTTTCCATTTTTGAATTGAGCTATCCTATGAAAAAATACGAATAAATTAAAAAATCCGCAATTCCTTTTGCATCAACCTAATAATTAACAAGGGAAGCCGCAAAGTGCAAAACTCAGATTTTCATTAAATTTTGCGCATACCTCAGGCATAGTCTGCTTATCAATTCCTGAAAAGTTTAGCTCTCACTTTGTAGGGGCAGCTGAGATATTCAAGGATCTTCACGGCCGAGAGAGTACATGAAACGCGGAGAGCGGTTAGAGAGAAAAAACGCTTCTTCGGGGTATCTTCGCCAGTTCCGCGAAAAACATTGTTGTCCGTTGAAAAGACAGTAAAAAAAGGCATATATCTTTACATGTCAAAATTCGGAAAAAAGTGCCCCATTTCTTCCAACTTTTGACCTAACAATCTCGGCGACTGCTTTATAAAGCAATGGCCGAGCTAGGAGTTAAGAGGGTATATCACGAAAAAAACAGTCTAGACTTGAGTCAAGTTTCATCAAAACTTGAGTGTTGAAAATGGAATGCTCCATTGCAGGTAATAAACCAGTAAGAGAGTGGAAAATTTAACCACTTTAGTTTGATGGCTATGTTAAGAGTTTGCGTCAAGATGGTGTGAGAAGTGTAAGTACGGAGTTGAGGGTCAAATAGATGGGGAATTCACGTGAAATAATAAACATGCTGCATGTATGTATACTCATAACTTTTTAAACTTTAAAAAGTCGGCAATTTTGCCAATTTTTTTCCGACTTAAGAGGCAAAAGAAGCTTCTTTGACGTTTCGTATTCCAAGACGAAGAATGCGTGCCTAAAACGTAGCCGTATTGACGGCTCAATATCTCGGCCGCCTCTGAAAATCGCGAGCCGAAATTTTCACAAATTGATATCCAGGGCGTGTCCAAAGTGTGCGCGTTTCACGTATTTTCTTGCCAAGAAGACCGTTGAATATCTTGACCATACTGTAAACAACAAGATAAAATATTTAGCAATGTATTACATAATATAGGACAGATTCAAAAAACGGCTTCAAAATCAGCAGACAAGCACACAGCCATATAACTTTAACGAGGTACCCCTCGTTTTAACTCAAAGCTTCAGTGACAAATTTTTATAGTCGATTATTCAACAAGCTCCACAAATCGTAAATAGCAGCTACTACGTAAATGAAGCCAACAAAATTCAGTCCAACTTAATTTGCATTTTTAATGTAATAAAATTTTCGCGTAATTCTAAATGTAAAAACCCCCAAAAGCCTTTGGTTTTATGAACTTTTAAGCTGCTTTCCCGGTTAAACCCAACAGAGTTCGGAATACATGTGTATGTACAATATAGTTTGTTTGCGAAAAACTCCCACTAAGCACCCTCCCACTGCATAAACCCTAGTATATAAAATAGAGAGTTTTCATTTATGGTGTTTAAAATGATGACTAACTTTGAACCCCATGAATTCGGCACCCTTTTACAGTACAATGAGCGCTATGTATTACATCTGAACTCCAACCTCTGGACTTTTAATACTGAGAATTTAGAGGTGAAAAAGGGAGGTTCTTTGGCGGTTAAAGATTTTTATTAAGGACTAAATTTCTTTAATTACGTTTTATATCATGGCATTTTGCATATTGAGTAGTAAAATTGTAGCAATGATTTTTGGCCGTACCTGGCAACATATGACTGGATTCACAATAAATACGGTCTTTGGAGAGATTTGTGTTTTGCATCCCGCACTAAAGATATTTTTTAAACTTAAAATACATCTTTGACAACAACAATATTGTGAATGCAAAAGAAGGGACCAGCACAAACTGTGTTTTGTATTTTATTTTAAATAGTTTTGGAGTATTAGTATCTTCCTCCATGTGTCTTTTTTATCTTAGTTTTCACAACAATTCCTTTTTATTTTTTCGGAATTGCTCTTACGATATCTTATCAGAGATATCATAGATGATGAGCAAAGAAAGGTGAAGGTCAAATCTTGCACCATCACAAGTTCATCACCCTATTACGCAACGCATCGATCATCAATCCATGGCAGATCTTCCTTTATCTTCTTCATGCCCACAGGTATCCACAAATTCTCAGATCCCCTCCGAGATCTCATCCAGCCCCTTCAAGGTTCAGCAAATATTTAAGCAAGCCCCTCTCCATTCCGCGATCGGCTTCCAGCGAATCTCGCGATGGGCGACCCGCTTTCCCGTCCGCTTTTATTGATCCCATTTTTGGGGTTAGCAGCACGGTTTCCGTCGACGCTTTTCAGCCCTGACCCAAAATCTCTTCGCTCTTAAGACCGCCGAGAATTTCTTCCCGGCGACCCGATGGGAATGCGTTATACCTGCGCGCCGCAATTCTCGAGATTAGTGCGTTGAAGACGACTGGGGGGCTCTGGAGAGACATTTTTTTGGATTTTTTGTTGATTAGTTTTTGGTCATTGTTTGCGGGAGATGGGGCTTGTAGCTCGGTGATTTTGGGAACTTGGAGGTTGTAGTAGAGGATGGAAAAATTGAGAGGAAATGAGCCAAGAGTGACTCTTGATTTTCTTTAAATTTCGTTTACATCCTCTCGAAATGCATTGAAAAATAATGCAAACGTTGCAATGTGCCTAGAGGAAGCTTAGGCAACCCCTTCAATGATGATTTTCGGAGATAACAGAGAATGAGGAAGGCCAGACAGACGAAAAACGGCTTTTTGTCTGTTACTTTTATCTAATCATTTGATGATTTGTTTAGTAAAACTGCCCTGATTTATATGCCAGGTGTTACTATATTGAAATCGAAACATCTCAACGATCAAAAAAATGAATTTTCTAGATAGAAGTCATAAAAATAGGGTAAAATACGGTTTCTTCATCATTATCAACACATTTCAACAAACCACTGACTATGAAAATGAGATTTTTGTCCATCTTTAATTCCGTGTTTTCACTAAAACTTCAATATTTCACACCTCTGACCCTTCGAACTTACAGTTATGCTCCAGTTTGCCGCGATTTCGGCCCTTCTTTTGTTGGCTGCGGCCGACAAAACCCCAGTGAAAGAGCCCTTCTGCCGACCGAATCAGGTGGTCAACAAGGTCACCGTCTTCGACGACGGCGCCATCGAAGCCGAATGTGGGCCAATTCCGTGTGGCCAAAGCGGCGCCCAGTGCTCGGATGATCTACCGCACTGCAAAAGCGAGGCCGACAATGTCTTCAGCGGCATGAGGTGGAGCAAGAACGGACAGAGGTAGGGAGAAGCGGAGGATAGGAGGAATAGAATTTGTGGTAAAATACGGTAACTTCTTCAGTTTGAAGATTAGATAGAAAAATATAGACAAAATTCAATATTATCTGAATAACTGAATTCGAAAGGCCAGACGACCGATCAAGCCGAGGGCTCAAGAGTCAAGTGATTTATTCAGTGGAAAGGAGGCCTTTTTATAGGAATCCCCACGAATAAAAGTGCAATAAAATTTGAATAGTTGAAGCCAGTTTCTCGTGGGAAAATCCTTGAAGTTCGGAAAAGTAAAATTTCCGATATTTTTTTGAAATTTTGTTAAAAAGTTTAGGCCAATGTCAAAATATTCGCTCGGGTTACGCAGTGAGCAAGCTACAACTTTCATCTTTGAAGCCTCTTCTGTGGTAATTTTCATTCAAAAAATGGGTCTTAAAGTTTGTAAAATACGATCGTTCCATACCATGAAAAAATGTATGTAAGGAGAGTATTTTACCCAGATACCTCATTGCCAAAAAAATCCCTTTTCCACCTGTACTTTTTATTTTTAATCCATTTCCAGCATTCTCCTCCGCTGCTGTTCCATCAACGTTCCAAACAAAGTCTACGTCGGAACCGACCTCGTCTCCACCGGCTCCTACTACACCGGCGGTCTCGTGGGCAAGAAGGACATGTTCGGTAAAGCCGGCCCCGAATTCGACTACGTCTCCAACATCCGCGCCGAGCAAGGCGGTGTCCGCATCTGGGTCTACCGCATCATGTGTCCCGTCGAGGAGACCAAACGTCCCGAATTCCCCCCTCAGCCCGAGCCCCAAAGGGCGGCGTTGAGCGCGGAGCAGCGACGCCAGAACGTCTTGCAGCAACTCAACCAACAATCCGAGGTCGGAGCGTCGGTGGACGCGCCCGTCGAGGAGGAGCCCGCAAATCCTCTGCAGTACCGCCCACCCGCCCGCATGGCCAGACAGAAGGACAGCCCCATGCACGCGTCTCGACGAGTTTTGTAGATGTTACAGTACGGAGAAGTAACTGATTTGGTCTCTTTTTTTGATTCATTCCACGCCTCCCAACATTCCAAAGTAATAAGTTGTAATATTTGAAAGATTTTCTTGAATAATAAACTGAAAAAATCTTTGCCCTCTATGCCGAAAGCTACAAAAATTCAAGGTTTTCGGAAGCGTTGAAAATAAACCTTAACCTCTGATAAAGGCCACGCACTCCCTGACACTTCCGCTCTGCAATCTTTGCCTTTTACGGTTCAAAATTAATTTCGATTAAATGCAAAGTCTAGAAGTCCAGGTGTAATTTCAACCACCTTGTCTTGACTACAAAAAAAATGTGAGGTGTAGGCGAATACGTGACAGAATACGAATACGAACAGGAATTTTGTTTGGCTTTGAGTGTAAAATAAAGACATAATGTCCTTTTGATCGTAGATCTCATTGTTTAGAATTAACCAATAATTAGACATGATACGAATTCTTGATGCAGATTTAAATTCAAGATGAATATACATACAATATTGAAGGAGAGAATATTAATTATCGGATAAACTCTAAGATTACCGTGAAGCCAGAAACGCTTTGAGGACGGGAGATCCGTTTATACCGTCTGGTCACGCAAACGGGATCAAAGCGTCTGAGAAACTGCAAAGACAACAAATTAGACCATTCTCTAAAGCTACACAGATAGCCACACAGATATACTCCGGTTCGCAAGGCGTTTCTTTCATCTGAAAATTACGTTGATGTAAACTACCGTAGCTCGGCTGTGAATAAGAGGCGGTGGCGCAATGTTTGGGTTTATTCACGACAGTATTCGACAGGTAGGATAATTTGGTCCAAAAAACGATGACAAAATCTAGATGGTTATCCGAAAACATGGTGAGGACATCTGGGAAGCGGCAGTGTAAGTTTTATATACATATTCTTTCATTAGTCTGGCTAAAAAACCCCCCTAGAACGCCTTATATCCATGCAACTTCCAACTCTTTTTCAGCATCAACGCAGGCTTAGAATATGGCAAAGAAGCGATTGTCGGGCATTACTACACCGACACCGAGACCAACCTGTTGGTCGACAGTGTCTGTCATGCCATTGGGATGCAGAATGAATCTCTCTGGGAAGAGTATGGCCATTTTCTGGTCCACTTCCTACTGGAGATCGGTTGGGATGAGCTGTTATCGTGTGTTGCTCCGGATCTCAAAGGTTTTATCGACAATCTCGACTCGATGCATTATTTTATCGACCATGTTGTCTATAAGGCAAATTTGAAAGGCCCCTCGTTTCGATGTGAGCAAGAGGAAAATGGCACGATCACATTGCATTATTACTCAGAGAGGTCTGGGTTGTTTCCCATTGTAAAAGGTGAGGAATTGGCTTTGAAGCGAATCAAAAAAAGCATTAATTTTCAAGGCGTTCTAACCGAAATTGCCCGTCAACTCTTCAATCAAGACATTCGAATTTCTGTGGCCAGTCGCAAGCAGCGAATTGTTCAACTTTCAACCGGTGAACGATGCGAAGAGCACGTCACTTTTTCAATCCGCGATGCTATAAAGCCTTCGTTTGCTGTGCAGAATCATCACACAGCGAGGCCGGGGGTTACAAGTGATTTTGAACAAGTGGCCGAGAGGAATCGGGTGGAGGCGGTCGAACCTCAACTCAAAGTCAACCAAGGGGAGTTCTGCAACCTGGCGCCGTATCATTTCATCATCGACAAGGAAGGGAGGCTGGTTCAAATGGGGAACGCGTTGTGGTAAGTTGCACGTGTAAGGCGGGATTTGACTGGTTTGGAGACATGTTAAGGCATAATACTTGATAGAGCAGCAGAACCCCCATGTAGAAGCAACACGTATTGTTGCAAGGAAACGATCATTACATACAGTGACGGACTTGATCCAGTGGCAAAAAATGTACCATTAATGCCATTTAGCATACAGGAAGAATCAAAAATGTAGCAAAATACCTCCCTCTCCAAGTGAAAAAACTCCGATTTCAAAAGCGCGCCCGCTCTTTTTGTGAGGAACAGGGCGCGCCCTTCAAAACTGGAGAGGGAGTCATTTTGCTACATTTTTGATACTTCCCGGATGCAAAATGGCACGTTTTTTTGCCACTGGATCAGTCCATGACTGTATACTGAACGCTGTTATTCCAGCGAATACGTAATCGAAGCCCACACCCATGCCGGAACGCCAATCGCTCGGATCTTCGAGATCCACCGCCCTCTCATAACCCTCGACTACGAAAACATCAACAACTTCATCAACGGCGTTTTCATTCTTCAAGTTCGCACCTCCCCTTTGCAAACCACGGCTATAGTCGCCAACGAAATCGCAGCCCCGAAAACGGTTGTGTCGTTTGAAGGTTCGGCCGAATTAATGTCGCATACTCAACACATGAAGTTAAAAGGCCAAATGATGTTGATCGAGGGCAAGGATGAGATTATTTTCATGGGATCTCCGTTTGTTTCCTCCGTTAACGACCTTTACAAGTATGGAATGCGATTGAGTGAGATCTCAATGCACGACGCAACTCGAGATCTCATGTTTTTGAATGAAACAAGGACTTCGGATAACAAGGAGGAGATAATCTTGGCCGAACAAGCGATTGGGGCTGATAGATTGGAGGAGGAGCTGGTTAGGGCTGATGAGTTATTGGAACAGCTGATCGGAGAGACCTTTCCAAGGTCCATGATGAAACAGGTGTTGAATAATAGCATCTGGGATGCTCGTAAGTTCAAGAACAACATCTGACTGTTACAATTTTCCAGAATCTTTTGAAAGCGCGACAATAATGATGGTCGACTGTCCATTGGTCAACAAACTTCTACACCAATGCAAACCCACTGAACTAATGGAGACCATCAACGAGCTCTTCGACAAATACGATCGTATTATCAAAATCCACAATGGCTATAAAGTCAATGTGGTTGGGGATTCGTTTATGGCTGTTTGCGGAGCTCCCGAACCAGTGGAGTCGCATTGCGAGAAAATGTGCCACATCGCCTTGGGGCTTCAATGGGAGACTCATTGCACGTTGGACAAGAATAATGAGCCGTTGACAATGCGATGTGGAATTAGCACTGGAAGTATTGTTGCTGGAGTTACCGGCGGCAAGACGCAACGATACTGTGTTTTTGGGGTGACTGTAAGAGAGTGTGCGCAGATGTTGGCGCAATGTCCACCGGGAAGGGTTCATATTTCGTCGGAGGCTGTGCTGTAAGTTGATGTGCCAATGGCTACTTGCTTATTTCTTTGGCCTTATTAGGCGATATATTTACATATGTATCAGGTCGTCCAGAAAGTTCGTTCGTCATCAAATAAATAGATACCCTTTGCTATACAACAAACAATCCTTGTAAAACAAAGCAATGAAAAAACGAACGAACTTTCTGGACGGCCAATTATGTAAATATAAAATAACTTTCAGAGCGGCCGAAAGAACCGGTAGATTTGAGTTCCTCTCTAGAGGAAACGTCTTTGTCCGTGGCCTCGGAATTCAAGAGACGTTTTTCCTGATCAAGAGCTTCAAGAAGTCAGTGTGGGAAATTATCGGAAAAGAGAGAGGTAAAGAATATTGTTATTGACCAAATAGCGTATCAAACTGTAAAAGAAGAAACGGTCTTCGTATTTCAACGGCGGCTTGATTGGATAACTGTTATATTGGAAATTCAGGAGTATTTCTTTAAGTACAGCCTATACAAGCAAAGGCTGTACCCAAAGAAATAAAGGTACAGCCTTAGGGCATCTTTGTTGGGAGTCAACTTCTTTAACATCCTCATTTCAGATGTTAACGTCCACTCAATCGACGGCTACGCCGAACTGTTTGCCGGACTCAAAAATGACGTCAAATTGATGAGAGAATTGGAGAAACCCGACTCCGCCATGTGCCGCGTCTTGTGAAAGTACAACATACACTTGTTTTGAAGCACAAATATTGGTAAAACAAAATTTGTATTTTAAATAAATACATACATTAATGGAAAGATCACCGACGCTTTCTCCTCAAATGCGAATGCAGGTTGATGTCTTTGACTCCTCTGAACTTTTTGAAGACAAACATGCTAAATGACAACAAAAACTGTATGGCGCTCAAGAGGGTTATCCCCAAAAACAAACTCAGTTGACCGCCGATTTGAGAGACGAAACCGGGAAGAGTGGTCGTAACAACTTCTTCATAAGCTTCGTACTGAAAAAATTGTAAAATAATTTAGGATTACAAAGCCATTTCGTCAATGAAAAAGCCCTCACTTCAAGGTCAGTGTATCCGAACTCCAGACGAAAATCCGGGACATTTTTCTCAATATTCCAGTCATTGTATTCCTTTGTATACAAGTTGTACATTCGGTCAAGACGAGTGCAGGCTGGTAGGCACTGAAAAAAAGGGATGATGACAACTGTACTCCGTTGACAGCCATCCTGTACCTTGCTAAATTAAGTTTACTTCTTTTACCTTAGTCCCATTCAAAGTGATGTCAATGATATCCATGTAGATCTTCGCAATCTTCCCAATGTCGCAAATGTCAGCCCATTCCGCCCTATAGCGCATGTAAAACGGCGTGCAATTCAGTGTGTTAATAAATTTAGTGTATAGCCAGCGCCGAACATAACACGCGCTCTTTCCCCGCCGATCATCTCCAGGAAAACAGGAAGAGAAGTCGGGTCGAAGACGGTACGCTTTCGTTGAGGCGCTGATGTAATTGTAGGCCTTGTAGCTTAAGTAGAATCTGGGAAACGTCGAGACTTCGGAATACGGCGAGGCAAAGTAGGCGATTACTTGAGGCTGAAACTTTCAGTATTCAGAACATTTTTTTGGGCTTAATACTAGGTAATTTGACTATGCAACATAATGGAACAAGCCGTTCATTCCAAAAATTCTTTTCTCTCTAGATATGGGATCATAACTGTGTCATTGTAGACAGCTGCAGCCGCCCGTGTGAGACCCTATTTAATGACAGTCTGTCGGGAAAATAATGCGATTCGTCGCGCTTTAAAATCATTGCGAGACACTTTTTTGGTGCGACAAATCCACATTATTTTCCCGACAACTGATAGAAGCAAGACAAAGAAAAGTCAAGGAAGTTTATCAAGAATTAACCGGTAAGTCATGCTATAAAAAATTTAGTGAAATTAAGATACGAAATCGATATAGGCTCACCTGATATCCAGACCTATCAATAATTGGGCTTGGCAATTTCCTCATATTCAAATACAGTCGCCCATGGTAATCTGGGTCGGTCTGGTACAGCTTTGTCAGCCGAAAACAACGTCCTCTGAGCATCACATAATGTTGCTTGAAAAGGTCGCAACACGGTACTTTCTCTGCTCCTAATTTGCATTTTTTGAAGAGCTAAAAAATCTGCATATACGAACCAACAAACCAAAAAATTGTACCTGGTCGCAAGTATACCCGTATTTTTCGAACAAAGTTTTTAAGAATTTTTCCGGACTTCTCTTTCCGCGCCATTTCCGCAGCATCGCGCTTTTCAGATCGTGCTCTTCATCGGTCAAGTTCTTTACGAACTTGTCCATATTCAAAAAGCCGGCGTCTGCGATTGCAAAGCCGACCAGGTCTTTCATCTGGGCTTCTGTGAGGTTTTTAAGCTGCTTTTTGATATCCCTGTAGACCAGCTGAATATCGAGAGCATCCGGATTTTTCGGGCAGATAATTACGGCTGGGAACTCGAGCTTTGCTGCCTAAAAGAAGAAATAAAGAAGTGTTCTCTGTGGCGGGTGCCAAAAGCTTATGTAAAGACCAAATTTGTTATCAAATTGTGACTCAAAGTCTTACGACTTACCTGATTGATGGTAAAAGTGGTTAGAAGCTGATCATCTAGGAAGTCTTTGAATGTAATCTTTGTTGTAATTGTTGACACTATGAGGAAGATGACAATCAATGATGCCCAGAAGATTTGACTGCCAATGTCTCGAGCCTAAAATGTGTCAGAAATAAAAAGGAAGTAATCATATACAGGGTCTTTCAAGAAACGTGAAGGAATATCGCAGGCTATAACTTTCGGCGGAAGCGCCGCAGAGAATTTATCTTTGGAATATGTATTTTTAAGCAACATTAATTTTTGTCTACGAAATAACAACATTTTAAAGTGCAAACTGAGGTCGCTACGACCTTTTAAAGTAGGGCCCTTACACCTCGAAAAGTAGTGTTTTTTGGTTGAAAATCCGAACTAGTATAAAACTTTTCACAAACAAGACTTACACAGCTGGCCTGTTGCAACGCGTGCATCTCCGTGCCTACAAAGTACTTGCAGAAGCATTTCGGCCGTTTCGATCCGTATTCTCTAACTTGGGTCACAAAATTAATCATCAAGCTGGTCCGAGAGTCCGATGAGAAAGTCCTCGATGGGACATCTTTCGGATTCTCTGGATTCATGATGGTCGTCCGGGAGTAGCGTCTCATCCTCAACAAGTTTTGTAAGGAAATAAAGCAAGGTCAAAACAATTCCTTGTTTTATAAAATATCGATTTCTTTGGAGATATTGAAGACGTGTTCGGGGCACACGAGAAGCCGAAAATCGAAAATTCAGCCTGAGAAAAGACTCGAGGCCAGAACAGGAGGCTCCGGTTTTGTGGTTTTAGAAATATCCAAGTACATATATCCCGCTTTTTATAAACGTCGAAGGAGCTTCTTGTATCATGTGGATTGTCACTGTCATTTACCACAAAAGACAAAGGCGATTTTGTTAAAATAGAAGGAACATGTGAGGGTGCAAAGGTATGATATGGTAGCATCTTTCAGCAAGAAAGTCCATTGATGTGTTGTGACTTATTTTTAGTCCGTTTGCAAGTCGCTTGAGTGGCTTTTGGCGGTCACACTGTGCAGAAAAAGTTAAGGTGCGAGCGACAGTCCAAAAAACCTGTTGCATAGTGCAAACGAACTTGTATGCGTCACCAAAATCACTCCAGCAACTTATTTAATGTTTTACCAATCAGAGGCGTCGATAAAAAATTGTGATTGAGGGGAAACGCTGAGAATCATTTTTTATATTTTTTGTATTATAGATGACCTTTTTAGGTCGCAAATAAATTTTTAAAAACCTCTCTTGTTATTTACGGGATGTCATGTCTTAATTTATTCACAAGATCCTACAATATGCAGCCCGTATACTTTAACCTTCAAAGTCATAAAAACTAGAACAAACAAAACTTTATTTTTAGCTAAAAGGTTAAAACAACAAATAACTAATATTGAAATTCGAAACAACTATCGGCAGCATGAACGTTTCACCCTCCCTTTTCCTTCTTCTACTCCTTTCCCATCGCTCGATAACTTCGGATCACAACGTACTCAAACCATGAGCCAAACACGATCTGCAGAGAAGCGACGGCAATCGCGAATATGCTCTGAATCTCTTTCACTTCCCTTTCCTCTCCTGACATTTCATTTCCGTCATCGTTTTCGAGATGATCGTTGGAGTACAGTTCGGCCAAGACTATTGAAAACATCACAACTTGTACTATATTCCCAAGGACACTGAGGAACTAAAAAATAATGTCAATATTAAATAACGCTCGACAAGATTAGATTCTATAAAATTAAAGTCTACAAACATACATTGGTGACCATGTATGGCCAGTAGAGTCCTCGTCGGCCATTCTGGACGCCATACATCATCAGACCCGGAGTCACAATGGCTATTATTCCACCGACAAAAACGGGGATTCCAAGCCCTAGCCAGTAACCAAAAATGTTGAGGATGCCGAATACAATCGTTATCGCTGCTATCACAAATACCACAAACTGAAAGAGAGCGAGTTTAAGAGGACATTAAATCTATTGAGATTTAACAATGGGCTATAGTAAACGCCCTGTATCAAGTCTTAAAATTTAGAACGAGCTAAAAGTTTTGAAACGTCTTTGAGTTTCAAGCCTCACTGACACACAGTAACTTTCAGAAGGCATCGCGACACTTCCGGGCAGCCGGTACCGAATAAGAATTACGGTGATCTATGTGGTCTGATAGAAATTTTGGATTGTCAACTCCTTGGTACTGATAACTATACGAATCTATTGAATTCATTCACCGGCTTAAAAGTTATAGGAGTTTTTTTTTCATAAAATGTTTTCTGAAACTTTAAAAATGTCTGGTTAACCTCATGGTAGCTATTCAAGCCACTCATACACCTGAAGACTTTATTTGCAACACCTAACGCCAAATATATCGCATAGCGCGCTAGAATTTATTGTTGTAAGCAAGTTTTGGCTGATTTCTAAACATGCCCGCAAAATCTCCGTGGTTCTTCTAGCTGCCCGCAAAGTAGTTGTCTGTAAGTGAAGGCCCACCTATTACAATAACCCGGAAACTCACTTCAATTTGCGGCTTGCAGCAACACACTCCAACATTCGGCATGATTTCCACAACTTCTATCCGAGGCAACAACCAAAACAAGTCACTTCTCAATACAGCAAAAAACGGTGGACCGGGTTTGTGGGCCACCTTCACACTCGATGTAACAAACCCGACTTAAGTTATGCATCCTTTTATCTCTCATTTTTCACGCTGAGAATGTAAATATTGGGAAATGTGGTGGTATCTACTTTGGTGTCCGCGCATCATGCCGAACGAGAATGAAGATGAAAGAGACGATGTGTTTTATAGTGCACAATGGATTCTGCAATAAGTAGTGTGCCCAAACCTTTACAGGACACATTTTGTTTGCGTCCTAAAAGAAATGTCTTTGACGTGGGGCAAAAAAAATGGCGCGGCACAGTGTTTGCGGGTACGGCAGATCACTAGCAAGGCTGACAAACCCCAAGTTCAATTTTGATTTATCACTTGTTACTTGCCCGATCCTTACCATCGACCGCGCCCGTAAATGTCGTGCTCGAAGATTCAAATTAGAACGCATAACATAGTGTAACATACATAGCGGATTTTAGCACCACAGATGCGGTGAGATTAAAGAAAAGTTGTCTGTTAAATTTTTTCAGGTAAAGTTCTAACCGGGATTTACCGGGACGGGATTGACTTTGAAACGGGTCGGGCCATGCCCGGTTTTTGCCGGGGTGCCACGGGCCTGAAATTTTCAAAAAGAAGCCGATTAGTCGCCCCTGGTTTTCAGCAAGTCAGGCGGCGACAGAATTGGATGAAAGTTGACAACTTCTGTGGCTTATCCGAAATGATTAGACATAGCGCCGTACCCTTATCAAACTATCCCTTACCATGTGGTGTATACTTCACAATACAGGCAAGGGATATATATATAAATAAAATTCATATTCTTCCAAATAATAATTTCTTTGTTGTTTTAGCCTCCCAAACCGCTTGTAGACAACATATCCAAAAAGTTCCCTGTTTTATTACTTTTTGTTTGAGCAGATTGAGCTTGTTCGAGATGGTCATTATTGCCGCTCTCCAACGCTAATATAAAAACGAGGCAAAGACCATTCTGTAAGCATTAGTATAGCATTATTTTTGTTGCATCTGAGAGCCTCAATTGTTTTGTATTTACCACTGAATTGACTCTCATGAACCTGCGAATCACTGCAGTACTTTTCCTTCTTCCAGTCTTGTCAATTCAGCAAGACTATCAGAATTACAATAATAACCAATGGGAAGAGGGAGAACATGGCCCTAAACATTATGTTGGAAAGCACTATTACTACGGCCCCTTGTATCCAAAGCTGCCTTTGCTGAAGGCGTATGAAGCCAGAGCGATCACGGATCGGGCCGAATGGACCAAACGACAGGTCAAGGACAGGCTGGATGAATGGGTCAGGAGACAGCCGGAGAAAGTTAGGGTAAGAGAGCGAAGAAGCTGTCTTCGAGAAATGAGAAATTTACTGTAACCGTAGACCTTTCTTTTCTATTTTTCTATATCTTCTAACCTTCAAGATTTACTGCTCCTTGTAACAGTAGTGAGCAAAGAACGTGCGTATCATTTTTCAGTTTCCGGAAGTGGCGCTGCATAAATTGCGCCTTTTTGCGTGTGTTCCGTTCTGCGGCGCCTGTTTTTCTCACAATTGTATTTTCAGGAGATCTATAATGCCTTCGACAAGGCGAGCAAAGTAAGAGTGCTTCAGGAGAAACTGGATCATGAACAGCATATTGCAAACCAAGCCAATGAAGTTAGGGATTTGGACAGACGAATCCAGGTAAACTAGAACAAGAGAATTGTTGAAAATGATATCTCAAATTTTGCTTCAAATTGTTAAATTTTGCTTCAAATTGTAACTTCAAATTGTCAAATTTTGCTTCGAATTGTAACGATAGTCCTAGGCTATGTAAAAAGAAATTTATCCCTCGCGCTAAAATGCTCGACATTTGGCCAACTTTTGAACTAAAAATCACGATTTTCTACGCAAAAAACATAGCCCTTCACTTATATATTGGCTTGTATGTCACTCAGAATAAACGAATTATCCAGGAACACCTCGATAACCTCGACATAACTTGGTATCAAACCTGCCGCCGGATCAACGATGTGAAGCGAGATGCGGACCCAAAAATTCTAAAAGCTCTACGCATCGAAAGACGCACCAAGTGTGGAATAAACGTGCGAACTCCGGACTCGGAAGATCACAAGAATCCCGAGAGTTTCGAGGACTTTGGGAAGAAACCGACGGAAGAGGAGGGATATCATCATGGAATGAATAATGGAGGACAGGAGGAAGAGGATATTTACGATCAAGGCGACGACAACAACGATTACAACAATAACAACAACATGTATGGTTGATGCCCGAGATCTTTTGCCCTCAATGAGGATTTTCGTTTTTGTAAATAATTGGGAAATTGTGTTTTGAATAAATTATTTAATTAACTTTTATAGGATATTAAACAGAGAAGATGTCGATGTTTAACAAGGTAAGTACTCACAGAGCGAGTAAGTACTCACTGTTATAAAACTTGCCACAAATTTAGAACTTTTTTCTTCACTAGAGAAGTGTACAAACTGGCCATCATCAAATGGCAGGGTATATACACCGTTGGGAAGCTGTTGAATAGTAGTACAGGAATATGTGTCTATCTTTTGCAGAATGCCTCAGGGCAAAGAACAATCAATACTTGTTCCTTAAGTAGCTACAAAATCGGCAATGCGATAAGATAATCCCGTTTTCTTGTCTCCAAACACTGTATATAAAGACAATGTTCATTGTTTTGATCTGAAAAAAGCGTAAATTGGTATGAGTTGTCAAGACTTGGATAGTCGAGGTCTAATGAGGCCCCTAACTTGCCCTCTACTCCAAGTATCCACTGCCCCTACTAAACCGGAGACCACAACTAGAGAACTCTAGCAGAAAAACTGTGAGCTCACACAAATTGACTCCAATTAGCTCGGACCACCACCGCACAGTGTCAAGGGGACTTCCAACAAATCGAAATATATGTTTATTTCACCAAACGAGTGACCGAAAAGCAATCGGTCTATTACATTTATATCAAAATATTCGTCGGTTTATGCTAATTTCTGGGAATTCTACACGGAATCGTGACAGAGTATGGTATTACCCTCCGAGAGCTTTCGAACAATGAATCACATTCGCCATTTGGCGGTGATAAGTTGGTACACTTCCTTTGTCTAACATATGCGAAGCCCCAAGCTCGTACTTTGCAGAAACAACCGAGATTTTTCGGTCGAAAATTTGGAAAATATGAATGGAATATACAAACAAGATAATGTATGGTTCCTAACTATATAAACTTCCGATTCTGTCACTCATCTTTCCGCCAGGCTTAATCCTCGTTCGGGTTTACTTTTGGAGAAACCAAAGTCCGTGAATTGTCTTTTTGCCGATTACCGGTTTCCCAAAATGTATTGACATGTAGTGACATTATAATTAAGCAGGAAATGCGAAGGCAAATTTCAAATGAGATAATCAGCGGTTTTACAAACTTATCGACCAACAATTGGTCAGAAAAAACAGCAAATTTATCAATTATTTTAATCAAATCTGTATAATTTACCGTCTGAAGAGGGCTGTTGACTTTTATGGTTAATAGATTTGAAATTGTAAGTCAAAAAAACTAATATAGTAAGACAAAAGAATTTGATTTTTTTATCGAAATTTCAAAAACTTTAGGGCTTCTTTAATCGCATAATTAGCACTTTCAAAATTCTCAAGTGCTATTTATACTATTTACAATCTTTTTTTGCAAATACTTGCGGATTATGTGTCCTTAATCAGATTATAGAATATAACAAGAGAATTAGCACAAATCGAACAAATTTTTCAAATTTTTCAGACATTTTTTGACTTGTAAATTGGAATTATTTTACTGGGAAATTAAGTAACAACAATTTTTCAAGGTTTCTATATATGATTTTTGTTCTTTTTGTTCATTACAGAATACTGCAACAAGTTTTTTGCGCTGTAATAAGTCTGAAATTTGTAATTGATTTCTACAGTATACCCACCTAATCCGATCGAATATCACTTTTTTACAATATGAAAGCCCCGCGAAAAAGATTTACAGCCAATTTGAGGTGAGAGGATTAGACAACAATCCGCAGCCTTCCCGCCGAGCTTATCCTTCCCCTAATCAGAACAAATCTTGCCGCAGGGTCTTGTCAAATTGCCTCTAATTCAACGTGGCTTTGTTCCCTGTCCCACGCACCGTATTATCGCGGATTCCACGATAATTGGCACAGGATCTGGTCCCACAGTATTAGCGGATTACAGTACGCAGCTCGTGGAAATGAATCCCTTCCGTTCCGGGATTTATTGTTCAATTTTTTGTGTGGCTTTTTGAGAACAAAGATAATTGAGGTCCAAATTTGGGTGGTATCTAGAAGAGTTTTTAGTACAGGGTGGTCCAGCTAAGTTCGCGGATGTAAAATGCTTATAACTTTTTATAGGATTGTTCAATTTTTATGAGCAATAGCTCATTTTATTCCTTAGTAGTTGCCATTTTGTTTAAAAAAAACCATTACAAACGATCAATCCTACGTCGAGTTATGACCCTTCAAAGTCAAACATGCTTTTTCACGTAAATTTTTAAAAAAATTTAATTTTCAAAAATTTTTGAATTGCGGTGTCACCGCTCGCTGGTACCGGGAAATGATGGTGAACAGAGCGATCCCAGCCAATTTTGCCAGTCTTGTTTTTCAACAAGACGGCGCGCCACCTCATTTTGCTATAGCGGTCCGTCAACTCCTTGACCAGGTTTTTCCAGGTCGTTGGATGGGCTGGGGATCTGCGCGGCAACCAGCTCCTATTGCTTGGTCCCCACGTTCACCTGATCTAACTTCGCTAGATTTCTCCATTTGGGGGTTCTTAAAACAGCGGATTTTCATCAGGGATTGGCGCCCAAAGACGCGGAATCGAAGCGCGTAATCGAAGAAGAGGTGGAACGAGTTCGCCAGGATGAACAAATGAGGCGCCAAATTATGGAAGAATACCAAAGACTGGCAAAATTGGGCCAATTTTTCATAGCTGGGATCACTCTGTTCACCATCATTTCCCGGTAACAGCGAGCGGTGACACCGCAATTCAAAAATTTTTGAAAATTAAAATTTTTTTAAAATTTACGTGAAAAAGCATGTTTGACTTTGAAGGGTCATAACTCGACGTAGGATTGATCGTTTTTAATGGTCTTTTTTTTAAACAAAATGGCAACTACTATGGAATAAAATGAGCTATTGCTCATAAAAATTGAACACCTATAAAAAGTTATAAGCATTTTACATCCGCGAACTTAGCTGGACCACCCTGTATTGTTCATCTTGTTACAGTACAATATGTTAGCTGATACAGCGTCCGCGGCTCTTTTTATCGTAAAGCCGAGGTATCGTTTTCTGCGGTTGACAGATATCACAGTCATTATTTCTGCACATAGCATCAATACCATCTAAGAAAGTGGCTCTACAGTGAGGGGCCGGATCCAATGGCAAGAAACGTCTCATTTTGCATCCCGGAAGGGACCAAAATGTCTCCAAACCCTTCCCTTCTCTAACAGTAAGCTAAAAAACCCCGCTTTGAAGAGCCAGCTTTGAAGGAAAGGGCGCGCCATTCAAATTTTATAGCTTAAAAAAAGGAAGGGTTTGGAGTCATTTTGGTCCCTTCCGGGATGCAAAAGGAAAAGCTTTTTGCCAATGGATCAGGTCCCTCATGTACCTCCATACACGATTTTGGATTAATACGCAACGGTAATGGTTACGTAGATAAGTCTCAGCCACCGAGTAATTTATATACGGTGTTCCAGTGACCTAGGCGTCGGATAATCGGTGTTTCTTTCACATTTTTGTTCCATATTTAGTATCAAAAACGGCTAAGTTATGGTACCAAAATAAGTTACAGTACGCTCAAGCTGTCATAAAAGGCGTGTTTTATATTCTTATTAGTTTTTGGGCACTCACAGTAGAACTGTCCTTACTTTGTAACATCACACTACTTTTCTTTGCTCTTCTGTACTTTACATACCACAATTTTTTGCTACCACGCTTCTTGCCTCAAAGTACGACGACTTAAAATGTGATTCAATTATCTTTAAGTGCTTAAGACAGACCATGTGGTCTTTAGTTCGTGGAATCCGTAGTCATTACGGACCGATAAGTCTGGGATGCGGAACTGTAATTACTTGCTTAATCAAATGAGTCACCACCGAAGAGGCCGTATATTATGATCATATGGTAGTTGTAAACACAAACAATTCCTTAATTTAAAACACATCCAGTCATGACTTACATTAATATGTTTGATTACAGTTGTTTCTTAATCAACTTTCGGTCAAAAAGAAATCGAGAACGTTTGTTCTTCGGAATTTTCTCGACACGAAAATCCCTGATTTTTATTAGTTTTTTAGCCGATCAAATTTCTGTACAAAAAATACCTTTTGTGGTCCTTGAGACCAATTCTCTAAAAACAAAATTTTTGTTGTTAAAACAGCTTAAAATCAAGCTGAATCATTGCTCCGACAGTAGTAAGACGATTTGTGGTGTATTCACCGTCATACGAGACAAAATGTATCTGTTGTTTGTACGAGACACAAAGCCATAATCTACCGTCTGATCTACAATGGAATTCTTTTGGTGCGTCATTCGCATTTTATAAAAAATTTTTTTGCATACGGGTTCTGAACAGAGATTGCCACGGCTCCGGAGCCGGCTCTTGGCTCCGGCTCTGAGCGGCTCCGAGCCGAGAAATCATAAAAAATTTTATGATCTTGGTAAGCCGAATTGCTTGAAAAATACCGGGAAGAAAAAAAAATAAAAGTTTTTTGCACGGGAGCCGGGATTCGGAGCCGCAGACCTTTTTAAGTTTTTCATGGGAGCCGGAGCCGAAGCTGCAAATTTGGCCTCGCCTCGGCTCTGGGAGCTAAGAGCCGGATCCGAAATTTTGACCGTGGCAATCTCTGGTTCTGAACTAGTCCAGCAGTAACAGTATTAATAACTGATTGTCTTGGCTCTCACTGTTCAGCTGAAGCCGTGAAATCAGTCTTTCGGGAAAGTAATAAGGATTTGTCGCGCCTAGGCGACTATTCCAAGGCGCGCCTTGGAATAGTTCTTTTGGCGGTTGGGGAGGATTTTCTATTCATAGAGGAGTCTCTATTTATATATAAGCCTAAAATTGCAAGAAAATTCACAGAATTGATATAATATATGCTCTAAATTTTGATTTTATTCTCAGCGTCCTTGTTCGAACATTTGCTTTCCAAATCACAAGATCTTTAAGAATCGTACGATGCGTAGCAATTTACTGGTAACCTCATGATTTCAAAAAAATTTAGGTATCCACC